CACTTTTGAATGTTGATACTCGATCTGCAGCATTTACCGTAACATCCAATACGAAGGACATCTCTTGCTCCGAAATTCCAACATACTGTTAGAAAATAATATATTGACAAAAAATACTTATTCAATGGGAAAATTGTCATAAATAATTAAAAGGGATGTAAGCATAAATAGTGTATTTTTGTTTGAATTAACAAATGTTTCATTTAATTGCTTTGTACTTTTTTCTCAAATTTTTTCATCTTTTTCATTGTTAAGAAATTGGTCACCTTATTGTCAAGACACACTAAAAAGGAAATTCTGGCTTTGACACTGTATCCCTATTGTTAATTTTGGAATATCTTTGGTATTTTTTTCCTGATTGTTTGCTTGCCTATTTTAAATTTAACAACAATAACAAAATGTATTTAAAAGGTGTTTGGACAGTTGAAAACAGGCTAATGATACGACTCTTATCTGAAGAAGATCCTTATCAGAGAAAGAATCATATTTCCCTGAATATAAAATGTCCCCTTATTTCTGAAGAGGCCAGAGAATGCTTATTGATAAGAAGATAGTCTTGCTGCTGAGAAAGTCTCTTTGTATATGCTAACAATATTTTCATCTTCTCTATCATCATTGATTTTGATAATTTTGACGACTACATCTTCACCTTCATTTGTACCACTGTTTCATTCTTTCTGAACGCCCTCCCTTACTGGTCTTCTTCTGGGCTTTCACATCCCTCTGAAAGATTCAGCATGTTGAATTTACATTTTTTGTCTTTCATCTGATGACATTAAGAATATTCCTTTCTGTTTCAAATTTTATTTCTGACATTTTATTTCTGTTCGTGGCTTCTTCTTCTGTAACCACTATTAAGTTGAAATTTGCATTGCTTAATATCAGAGTGGTCGAGCAGTGAAATGCAAATTTATTTTCTCAATAAATTCTCAGTTCCTAATTTCAATTTTCGTCGTGTTTCACTTATTACCATGCTGGTTGAAGTTTCTCTGAACTGGCCAGTAGTGAATGTTGAGAAAAAGTTGACAAAACTAATTAAGTATTATACAGAATAGTCCGAAAAGATATGTGGATCATCCATCCATCTGGCACTGGGATGTAAGCACAATAATTGTAAGTCATGAGGTCTCTTACAATCTTCATTAATGTGACCTAAAGAAAGTTTTAATAGCTTGGGAAAATCGTTTTCATCATCTGTCTTTCTTATAAAAATAAAAAACATTGTAATAAGTCAAAATTACAACAATTTTCTCTGAATATTCTAACCAAACTGATTCACACCTCTTTATAAGGCAAAAAAAAATTTTGATTTTTTTTTTAAGGATAATTGTACCACAAGTGACTTTGATAATATGCTTGTGGTCAAACTTAAACATAACTCACTCATAAAAACATAAGGAAAGGGGTAAAGCTCATCTCATATTGTATGCAACATACTATCACTTCAGAACTAAAGTGAGAAACTTATTGAGATTTTCTCTACAAAAAGTTCTTCCAATTAGAACCAAACAAAAGGGAATGGAGTTCATTGTAATACAAAAAAGCAAGTATGTATTTATTTTTCAAAACATATAATAACAAATTTTGAAAAATAGTATTAAAATAAAAATGTATGATAATGTTCAAAGTTGCTCCATACATTATTACATTTTCAAAAAGAAAACATCGCTGAGCAGGCCACAAAATGGATTTGTAGCAAGTGAATGAATATTCTACATCTATAAATGCAATAGGTCATTAGTTTGTAATACACAACATGTAAGTGGGATGAACGATTTATGAGCGGTGCAGTGCTAGTTATATGCTCTCTGGACAGAGCAAGTGGGATGGTAGACCTGGGAAGGTGGGAGCGAGAGGAAGGGACAGTAGATAGACAGATGTGATGGAGGTGCATGTGGCGATGTGTTGTCATTCTCACAAGTGGTTATTGTTTGGTGTACACCTTTAATTTGTAAATAAACCAACATTTCAAATTTACATGCATCTCTGAATAAACCCAATCCTACACGTACATACAATGTTTGCAATGAATCTGTGCACATATGAACTGTCATACCACATAGCACCAGTGACTAATCTGGGAATGAGGAGTAATGGGAACATGATCACACCCCAAATCTAACTTTTTTTAAAATCAATTTTATTGTAAAAACTTGCCAAATATTGATTGCCTCATATTTCAAAGGAGTATTTTCATTATGCTCAAATTAATGTCTTTTCATGAATAAATTCTGAATTCTGCATCCCTGAGACATGTCTCTCAGCAGGGTGCAGGAAGCACAATAAGACAACGTCTGAACGAAATGTCACATTTTGATCAAGTTATGCATTGGCATTATTTAATAAACACGAGCAAACACATAGGTAATATTTATTCAGCTTTGCAAACATCCACTCATTCTTGATTCAAATACAGGATTTTCATGAAGCAAGGAGGAGGAAAGTTTGCTTACAGAGTGTCTAATTTCGACACTGTATGAGCTGGAGCGCTCTTACGAGATTACAAGTTCATGCTTGCCTAAAATACGGCACCAAAGGTTACAGAAGCGCAGTGTGGCACAGCATTTCTTACCAGAAAGTCGATTCAAAGAACATATAATGACAAACTCGTATTTGTCTTTTACCTGTTCTAATTCAACAAGAAAATACATCGCAATGCATTGAAATATGTGGTTAAAGGTAAAATATGCCAAAATATCACCAGTAATGAATATTCTGGCTGTTTGAAATGAGTCATGTCTGTGTCATGGAGGAAGATGTTTCAACCCACACAATGTAGCCTTCCCCAGAGCTGTAGCACAGCAACACTGTACGCACAACAGCTCTTAGGAAAGCTGCAATATCCTGGCCGAAATGTAAGCCACCAAAACACTGATGTGGCTCGTCTCAAGATCATAACCTTCACAATCAACAGTTACGTGAACATTAATATGAGAGAGATATCAAAAAATTACATTTGTGTATTTTTTCAAAAAAGGACAGCTAAGTAACACTTATCTCATCTGTCACAGTGCATTTTGCTCTATCACTACACAATGTTTAAAGAAAAAACTTGGAGCAATTTTCGAGAAAATATTAACAACATATCAGGGCCTTCATGTAAAATATCCCCAAAATTTAAAGAATAATTTTCAAAATCACAGAGTTTTGAGTTAGACCAGATAAACCAAGGAATATTATTTTTGGGAAAAATCCTACAAATAGTTTAAGTGTCAGTGTTGTTCACAGATGACCAGACAGACAGGATGTTTGAAAAGAAACACTTTTGCGGTGTCAGAGGAACCTAAAACGCATATTTCCACTCAAATCTCAAAATCAATTTTCCGCAGCATTACATTGCTCTCTCTACATTATGTATATTATTCCATATATATGTACGCAAACAAGAAAGTAAAAAGTTATTGGATTATGTACCTCATAAATGTTTATTTTTCATGTTTCCTTACACATCAGAATTTGAATTTCACATTATGGAAAGGCAATAAATATTGATTCCAACTACTTACTCTGTGAATGTAAGATGTGCCTTAATTTTTCAAATGAGACATTTAGGAAAAAATGTATTTTATTCAGGTGAATATGAAAAATATAAATAATAAACACACCTGTGGTTTGCAGTGTTCCTCCAACCAACTAAAAATACATCCAGAGAGTTCAGCAAAATTAGCAACTGAAACATTGCTAAATGACTGGAACAACTGATCCATAATGGCCTGAAACTTAATAAATAAAGGAATAGATGCAACATAATATTTGAAAGTGTAATTAAGAATATTATCGAATGCTTGTATAGAATGCATATGAATCAAAATAGTCTACATAACTTACCACCCTAAATTTTGTCTCATCAGAAACACGCATTTCTGCTTGCCCAGGCTGGTTCTGATGAGCCTTCACAATCTGCTCATAATTAGTTTGCATGATACGCAATGCAACCACTTCTTTTCTGAGTGAATTTCTTTCTTCCTCCTGTTTCTTTTTCTGTTGTTGCAGAAACTGAAATTCAAGAATATATTGGGGCAACTATAAATAACATCTTCCCTTTTATGGACCATATAATTAAGTTCTACTGTAGTTTTCATTATTTAATAATTGGCAACATTTTTAAAGATGTGAAATACATTAACTTAGCAGAACAATGTGTTCTTACGTATTTCAATATATTATTTTGTGATGTGTCTATTTTGACTACTATCATACTACTTAAATTACTATCTTGAACTACACAAGTTTTAGTTAAAGCAAGTTGTGCAAACTGCAATGCAACAAATGTTTGTAAGAAATGTAATATCAATCAATTTTTTAAACATATGAACATTAAGTAACTCTAGCACAAAACAATAACACAGTAGTTAAACTCAAACATAACTTGGTAATTAAAATGAATATATTTTAATTTCTTTCAACATGTTTGTTGGCCTTAAGAAGCATATGTTCATTTGTAGCATTCAAGAATGTAACATGACTTCTATCAGTGCACTAGCTGAATGTGTTTTTACTGATGTTTAAAATATTTTGCTATGCTGAAAATTCCTACTATTGAAGTTCTAAATAACAGTAAATAAGTAACTGTTTAAACTTTAAACATAAAGTTGTCTGTTTTTTCATATTTCAGCATAGAATGTGAAAATTATCTTGTAAGAATAAAATTTATAAATAAAAAAAAGTTTCAAGCAAATGAGTAATCTCAAGCTCTTTTGCAGAATGTCTTTCAGGCTGTGCGCTAGTTCCCATCCCAGAATAACAAGAACCTAATTGCCAAACATGGCCACAAGAGTTGTTCTATTGTTGATATGAAAGTTACTACTGAACTACACAAGTTTTAGTTCAAGATATTAGTACACATTCTTCAGTATATTAAAATCAAGGTGACTTATTAAAAAAAATTGTACATTTGCAATCATCCTATTCTAGAAAATTCCATTACTTTACAAATTTACATTACAATATAATTCATAGGTGAAATTATCCTTACAAAAGGAGATTATCCCGTTTGCATTTGTGAAAACGAATATTTCAAACAAAATTATGCTAGTGGGTAAACAACATGACTTATGTTCCTTCCGAGTATCCACACCCTAACCGCATACTGCAGCCGGCTAGCAGCATCCGAGAAACAAAATATCTTATTGACCTTTGTAATTCACCCTCTGTGAGTTTGCCTCGCTGATCACCCTCTTGTCCACTTCACTCTTGTCACAGTCAGCTGTCATCACACCTACATTGTTGAATTTCTGGGGTGCTCTCTGGCAGAGGGGTCATTTCAAAAATAAGGTTAACAAGCAATGGGGAAGAGCACATAAGTAGCAAGGTTAAGTTCCATTAGAAACAAGCAGGACCGAGGCCCGAGGGGTGCAGTGATATTTAATTCCCCATATTAAAAAAAAAATGTTTTTTATCTAAAACCATGTCTGATAAAATCATAGAAGAAATAAATGAAGCCTTTTTTAATTCTATTATATTGGACACAACACAAGATGTATCACAAGTTTACCAACTAAGTTCAATTTTACGATACATAACTAGTGAGAAAAATTATTCTGGAAAAACAATTAAAATAAAAATTAATGAATCTTTCATAGGATTTAAGAATGGCGAAGATCAATCAGCCCAAGGGTTATATTTTAATGCTGTTGAATGTATAAAAGAACAAGGCATTGATTTATCTACAGGTAGAGGTCCAGGATATGATGGTGCAGCAGTTGTGAGTGAAATTTTCAATAGCGTCCAGAAAAAAAAAATATATATATATATATATAAATCAGATAATGCATTGTACTGCTCATAATTTAAATCTTGTATTTGATGATATCATGTATGGGATATGAGAAGTTCAGACATTTTAAAATATGCTGGAATGAATGTATGTTTTCTTTTGGCAAAGCATTAATCAATGGAATATAGTATTATCAAATGATGGATTTAAATAAAAAGAGAAATTATCTTACATTAAAACGACTTTGTCCTACAAGATGACATCACAGAACAATTCCATAATAGCTGTAAGATTTGGACATTTCATGAACGGAAGTTTCTGAGGCGGAATCGAAACTCATAAGATTTTGGCCGTTCTATTAGTGATTAAGCATTATGTGTCTGAGATATATTATATTAAATGAGATAATTATTCCACTGAAACTGAACTGAAACTGATTGGGTACATGATGGAATGGAGACAGGGAATAAGAGTGAAAAATTTATCTGTCAGTCCTGAAACAATCTATGTCTAAAATATTTATTAATTGTATAAACTCTCATGCATCATATCACCCAAGTTGTAGTGCAAGGGTATATTTAAATTTAAAATCAGAAGTAATTGAATGCTGCAAATCTGAATTAAAGATGTCTACTAATGATGAATTGATTAAAATCTTCAAGCAAGAATTAGAAAAAAAAACTAAACAATTGGGAGATAAAACAGCTAAACTTGAAGTAGAGCTTATAAATAACCAGAGAAAAATTTGGAAAAGTATCAAAAATGATGTTAAAAACATCTCAGACACAGTACAAAAGCCCGCAACTGATATCAAGGCTTTCCAGGAAGGGTGTAAAAACTTTGAAAAAGAGATGTGATGAAATTGGATCCTTGCAAAAAAATACTGCAAATAAAGTTGAAGATATTTCAACGGAATTTCGAAATTTCCAAACTACCAGTGCCGTCCCTGAATCCTGTGCTAAGATTTTTGAAGAGATAGAGTGTGATGCATGCAAAAAAAAAAAAAAAGTAATCCTTGAAGATTGGGAAATTACAATTCAGTATCAGTGGAGAGTACAGACCACCATCAGTTGATACAAGGCCAAGCCAGTCCAATTTAAACTCTTACAAAAAATTCATACGGAATGTGGAGTGCATGAACATGTTATAATTTTCAGAGATTTTAACTTTCCCACAATTGCCTGGATGTAAGGAGCTACCCCAGGGACTGAAGTGGAGCGGAAGATTTTATAACACTATGTGGATTTCTTACTCAGAAAGTTAGTGAACCAATGCGGTATACAGAAAACCAAACTCCTGCAACTCTGGATTTAGAGTTGACAAATGATGAGGATTTTAAAACACCTCTGATGTTGAGACAAAATAGTGGGAAGAGTGATCATCTAGTTATTGTTACAACTTTACACACAAAATTACAAAATGAAGAAACTTCCAAAGATGTCAGTGAGAAATGAAATTTCTTCAAAGCAGACTACAGAGCAGTTATAGAGCATCTTGATGAATACCATGAATCAATTACCATGAAAAATAACAAAGATCAGAGATCTGCTATTGAAGATAATTATGGAGAATTCCGTAACATGTCTAAACAACTACTGATTACCCACTCATCAAAATTCATGAAAAAGAAAAATATGGACAAACCCTGCATAAAGCATGATGTCAAGAAGAAAATCAGAGTCAAACACCGAGCATGGTACATGTATAAGAGATCTGAAGCAGTTGAAGACTTTGAGCAGTATAGGATAATCTCAATCACTCGCTTCGGGCATACGGACAAGGAGAGAAAAATTTTAAGTGCAAGTTGTACAGGATGGAGCTAAGAGATTCTACATTTATATTCGAAAACAAACAGCTTGCAAAACTGGACCACTTAAATTCATCCAGAGTAGAGGATCCCCGATATCAGACCCAGAAAAAATCGCAGAATGCTTTGCAGAATACTTTGAGGAGGTGTACACAACAGAACCTGTGGGTCAACTACCAAACATCAGACAAAAATATACAGAAGTAATTGAAGATATTGAATTTACAAATATTGAAACATCTCAAACACTTGAAAGAATCGACACAAGTTTCTTGGCTAGTCCCGATGGCTTTTTGACAGCTTATCTGAAGACCTGTGCTACCCATTTAGCTCCAGTACTTAATAGATTTTGCAAACTGTGACTAGACAACAAAACTACCTTCCGCATGGAAAGAAACTGTAGTTACATCTATCTTCAAGAAAGGTAATAAGCAGTTACCAGAAAATGACAGGCCAATATATCTGACTAGTACTGTTCAGAATGTTGTGGAGGGAATAATTGTTCAGAGACTTCATGATTATGGTGGTAGAAATAATTTAAATCCCATACAGCAACATAGATTTGTCCCCAATACATCAACAACCACGAATTTGATTAGTTCGCTTGATGTTTGGACTAAGGCGATGGATCATGGGGCAACCTATGGATGTAATATTCTTAGATTACGCAAAAGCATTTGATAAAGTTCCACACAAACGATTAATTGCAAAATTAGAATCATTGGGGATACAGGGAAAATTGCTCGCACGGAATATCGCTCGAGATGGACATTTCAAGTATTAAAGAAGAGAAGTTGACATCTTGACATGTACAAGTGAGGTTCCTCAAGGGTCTGTTCTAAAACCAATGCATTTAGAAAAACGCGTGATCTGAAAAATAAACTAACTGGAACTGCTATGTGTACAATTCTTAACTTCTTGCAAATCCACTAATGGATCATCAGAAAACTGAAACAACATTTTGATGAACTTTGTGAGGATTTTAGTTTGTCAAAAACTCACTGATGGAGAACAAAGATACAAACTTTATGTTATCTATGAATATTTAGATATTGCCCTTTACTAGTTGCAGTGACGATTTGTTGGATTGAAAAACAGTGGCAGTTTTCAAAGTGATTCAGAAACAAGTTTTGATAGTTCTTTCAAACAATGAAACTTACAAAAAAGCACAAAAACTTCAATCAAAATACCCTGCAGATGTTATGAAAAACTTGTCATCTCAATTATTGTCTTAGCGCATTTGTTTAAAGAGTCAAATTTCAAAAGTAGGATCTGTTAAAGATCTTGCACACTTTTTATTAAATGACCATTGTTCATTATTAACAAATTTTCTCAAATGTGCATTCACATTATTTTTCTCACTTCCTGCCATGGTCGCCAGTATTGAAAGAACGTTTTCAAAATTAAAGCTGAATAAAGTAATAATTAGTTACGAAGTACAATGACACAATGATTGTCTGTGTAATATGAGTATTTTATCAATAGAGCATGAAAAAATAACGCAGTTGAAAAAAAATATTTCTACCGTCATTGTTAATTGCATAGAAAATACCATACTTTACATTTCAATTATATCATGAAATTTGAAAAATGATAATTTATTTCTGTAACAATTTACAGTAATAAAGGTTTTTATTCCTAAAATTCAGTTTATAATCCCACAATTATATTAATGACATGTCTTCAATTAACAAGCCCCCGTATTTTGTCAGTCCAAGGGCCTGTTGATCTTATGCCACTGGCAGAAGACTCTTTCTTGGTAATTAAGGATTTTATAAATGTTTCAGAAATGTAGTATGTCTATGAGTAATATCATGAACATTGATCTAACAAATGAGTCATATTATTTGATTCTGTCATACGCACATTCAAAAATACCTAACACCTACTGTTTGCCTTCACATCAAAGCTACACTATTGCAGAAAATAATTCAGGAAATGTAGTTCAAAGCTCTATAAAATACATCTCATTATAAAACAATTTAACTAACAAATAACAATTTTACAGCAAAGTTTGGGTTAGCTGATATATGGCATTATCGTGTCCTAGAAACCAAATTTTCCATTAGCATTTGAAAATTTTTTAAGACATATTATTTGTCAATGTATATAATTCAATGGCAGTTCTTTTCAACTATTTGTTGTATGTATATGTAACTATATGTTTCTTTAACTATTGAGGTATGAATATTGTCATGACCTACAGATTAATTTAACGCCAGAAAGACAATAATTATAGTAATTCAGAGTATTTCACCAATGTGGGTACTTTGAAACACCCAAAAAACAGTTTTTCTTCTAGATTTTTTAGAATGTACTAAAAGGATCTCGCTAAGAAAATGGCAATCCATTTGCCTCATTGAGAGAAATCAAACGGGTTATTGATCACCTCTTAAGTTACGATAAGTCACTCAAAACATGTTTTAGTTGAGTAAAAAATGCAACAACATGTTTTTGAAGATATTTCTTAGAATCTTCTGGATGGATCAGCAAACAAAATATTGGTTCTCCACCTGGAGACCAAAACACATTGAATTTGTCTCGATTCATGGACAGGAAGTAGCCTAACCACGAGTGACAGGCGGATAAATGGACAGACACAGACTAATCTATTAGTGCTGTATAAAGATGAAAGTGTGTCTAATGATGTCTTTGAGAGACCAACATTTCGAAATCAAGCAAATTAATACTATACATTACCTATCTCGAAGCTTATATTTTAATAATTAATGTTAATCATTAGTGTTAATCATAATACAAAAGTCTACACAAGATTTTGATAATTAGTACCTCAATATATTCTATAGATTTCTGAAGCACAGTAGCTTTGCTCAACTTATATCCTGAACTGTCTGTTTGTTGGCAAGTGGGCACAAGATCTTGTAAAGAATCATAACCCTTTTTAATGGCATCTCGGCGTTTTTGTTCGGCTTGCGTATGTGCTTCTCTGCGTCTCTCTTTGTAACTTGTAAGTGCTGATCCCTTGTTGTCACTATCTTCATCATCTACAACACACCAAAATAGATTTTTTTTTAACATTTCATTTCAGTTAGCAGCACATTTAGCAAATAAGCAATAATATTATGTTTTCTCTTTTTTAAATTTAGTTTCACTGTAAATTGATTATTTTTTTTCAAATTTTGTTTCTTCAAAAAAATACCAAAATAAAAAGTGCTTGTACTGACAAGTATATTCCTGGACACTATTTCAAAGGAACATATTAATCCTAACATTATCATGGATATTACATTTAATATTTCCATACATTTCCAGTTGCTTTTTAGAACACAAAATGCTCTTAAAAAGAAAATTGTTATTAATTTGTTCACAATAATAAAAGCTAAGAAGGCAACAGAGAAATTAAGCAATTCATCATTAAACAAGAACTAGATCCAGATGTTCATGACCTAAAAATAATGGAAATTAGTATGCATTTGTGACCTCAAAGCAGCAAGAATAAAAACCAAAATGTGATCTAACAAATGTTTCTACAGCAATTCCAGTGTATTGGAAAATAAGTTAATATGGACAAAATGTTTCAGAATAATAAAAAAATTGCAAATAAAAAATATTACAATTTTTATTTTGAAATAAACTTGTATATTTATTTTAGCAGCTAAATCACTGCAGACTGCTGTGTTCTATTACACATTCTTCCCTTTAATGGTCTGTAATCCTGGGTCAGTTACAGCGATCATTTTCATTCATAGTTAGTAGTGGCTTTGGAATTGAAAATAGAAGAATCGTCTTTCAATCAATTCTGAAACAACTCTGCAAAACAATTAATATTTCCCAGGTAGAATAAAATCCTTACATTTATCTTTTAAATCCTTATACTTATTCTAGCATCCTCTACACTGTACATCAGAGATGTAATATTCACAACATAGTTTGCACTTCTGAGAATTGTTACTAAGAATTTAAAAGTCAACGGTCCACCTGAGAGGGGAACAGAAAGCAAATAGCTGGCCAGGAACGAAATTCTAAATAACATGTCCAGAGAAAAATAATGAAATGTGTTTTTATTCATGTGTTAATTATTATTTTATTATGTACATCCAGTGAAACTTTAACACTCTGAATGTAGGCATCATAGCAACTATTGTGTTTAATAACAGTTGTTTTATGAAAAATGGTAACTTAATCTCTGATTAAAGCATAGGACGAATTAACTTTTGATCAGCAGGGATGTGATTATCCAATTGGAAGATTCAATATCAAAAATTAAGTAGTAACAAAGCTCCTGACTGGATAACTGCAGCTGAGCGCTTTTTACAAATTGTCTATGAATTGAATCAAAGTAATCAAATCTTAATGGTTATTTTTTCAGATTCAAGACTTGCAGTCACGAGACTGCCCACAGACCACTTTGCCTTATGATTATTAATTGTTCGGTTAAAAATGATGATACTCTGAATTTCCTCTAATTGGTACACAAACCTCTTTAGCTCCCGCCAAATGGTTTCGAATCAAGATATATAAGAAAAAAGGAAAAAAGGCAGAAATATAATGAAAGGTCAAACAAAGCCGAAATAAGACTATGTATGACCTACAAGAAATTCAAATTCAAATTAAAATATGCTAAAACATTCAAATTTGAATATGACTAAATTCATTACATATTTCAATATGAATATATGTATATCAATAAGTAAAAGAAAAAAGTATACGTGATCATTCCAGTCCTAATCATAACCACACTATACCAATTTTTCTATAATCTTTTCTATAAACTACTCTATTATCCATTTTAATTAAAACATTAACATCCCAAGGTTAATATTATTTGCATGTTACTGTTTACTTTTTCTAAATACTTTTTAACATCTAATTCCCAGAAGTTTATGAAAATATATATTTAATTAAAAGCTTTATTATATGCTAATTATCAAATGTCCCCAAAACACAAACGAACAGAAATTCTGACATTTTATACTGCATATTTAGAACATTTTGTGTTAATGCATCATATTTCCATTTCATTAAGTTCTTATTCATATTTTATTGCTTCTATGTTCTTAATGTGGCATATTTCTCTTCGAATTTCAATTAACATGCATATTTGCTTCCTCAAACGGAAAAGTGTATTTTAAAAATGTGAATGTGAATGCTATTCCTGGGAAATCATGTGAATGTCTTTTGTTCCTTGCAGCAGTATTTGTCTGAACACCTTTTAGACGATATCATGGTGCTGGTACCCAGAAACAATTTGTCCGAATATGAATGATGTGATAATTTATCATTGACAAAGAATCTGTGGTATTGCAATCAACAGTAGTACACACAAATTAATTTTATTTTACTTTAAAAATTATCGTTGAAATACTAAGTGGAGACAAAAATGCAAAATTAATTGCTGAAATTAAACATTTTGTAATTGTTCATGAATACATAAAACTGTTAATTATTAGAGCAAATTTCCTTAGTTCCAGCATATATTGTACAAATGTTAATATCATACTTTAATGCATATTTCTCCTTTTGATACAGCGTTAACTTCCGAGCCTTACTAATAACTAACTGTATTATCATGTTTACCAATTCCCAAAACACTTAGATCTTCTTCAGAAGGTCTCTCCCATTTTGTTAAGTCTGGCTCTCCCCAGCTTTCCCAATGACCACTTTCTGACATTCGTGACACTTCCGAATCAGCAATTTTAAGAATCAATCAGCCTTTCACTCTCCCACAAACGAAAACCACTGAAAACAATTCATTAACTACACAGTTGTCATCACAATATTTCTTTAATATTCAGTCACAAATGAAAAATTTCTTATCAATGATATCTCATGTTGACATAGGCTTCCAGAATTAGAGGCTGCAATATACTGGCAGAGTGAAATGATAACCAAACCATATGTTTCAATAAAATTGGAAGTTTATTCTAATATTGGTCCACAAACAAGGAAAGGGATAAATGTTTATCATTTTCTTTTTTTGCAAAGAATAAACATCTTAATAAAAATTACAATATATTAAATGGTATTTGTTCACCTTATTCTGAACACTGATATGTAGCAATAATAAGCAAAACATTTTGTATAACCTTTCTTTTTCTTCAGAAATTTATATTTGCATAACTCTAATTACACCAAATGTCACTCGACACAATTTGAAAATTAAGCATAATCAGAATTCAAAAAAATAAAACAGCATGCGGTTCATACTGTCTATCATTGGTCAAACAAAAATTCCATTTGCTACTGGACATCACACAACACAGAGATAAGCAAAGGCTGATGATTACCATGACCACTGCTGCTACTGAGGTTGCCTCCAGCCCTCCCACCCTCACCTGAGTTGTGGGCTGATGAAGACAGAGTATGCAGGGAGCCCGTGCTACTGCTGCGGGAAAAGGGAAACCTTTCCCTGTCAGTTGGGCTGGCAGGCTCCAATTTCATTTCATTTGGATTCATCGCCATGACATCAAGTAGCTGCACAATAAATTAAGCATAATGAGTAGGCACCACATAACAAAGAACATTTGACACAGTATAAACATTAACTTCCCAACACAATACTGCGACACGCATGTTACATAATATGTATTACAGTGAGAAGACAAAAAATGTATTCACATTGTCATTTGAAACAAACATCTGTTGGTTTCTGATTTTCACCAAATTCATGTTGAAAAGACAAGATACACTTCTCACTAGCTTATAATGCTTGGCAACGAATTGACCTTGAACTATACATCTCTACTCATCCTCGAAAGATAAAGTAATCAACTACGACTTTAAAAACCTCTTTACGACGCAGCAGATTTATTCTACTTGCAACATAGGTTAGACAATTTAAGTACAAGGTACATCTCAAAAGTCATACATACTACAAAAGAGTTGCGTTGTTTTCAGATGGCATATTCTCACATATTTGGACTTTAATATTCTAGCTACACGTCCTCATAAACAATTAGAATAAATAATCACCACAAAAGCAAAACACGGAAGGATGATTTGATATCATTTTTAGTTTGTTGCTAAACTTCTAGATAGCGCTGCACAAACTTACGTTCCGATTCCGTCGTGAATCAGCACTACACTTCGTTACCTTGAAGGCCAACAGATGGTGCCAAATAATACATGAAAGAGGTGTACGCTTTTTCCATGCTGATACAAAGTACTTTGGCGGGAAAGTAAAAATTAGTGGTGATCAAAAAGCTCATACTTTTTGTTACTTGCGCTCTTCTGTAACAATTATTTTTTATAATCATTACATTCAATTTACTTTTCGTGTGATAAGTATTATGTTTATTTGAAAACCGAGTCTTGAATGTCAGACGCGTACTGTCGCAGAGTTTCCTGCTCATGTGCGGTAAAGTGGTGAGCTGTGATCGAAAACATTCCGTGGTTTACGTTAAACAACTTTAAAAAACAATTATTACACAGTTGTGAACAATGAGAAGCCATGGTGTCTTAAAGGGAGCCATGTACAAACATAAAAACTTTACGAAGAGACGTGGCTGAACAGCTGTTGCGGCGGAGGGATACGTCTCTAAATTTCAGGTGATGTTCGCTTGTTTAGTGAACTGTCATTTTGGCTCATTCTTAGGCGAATCCTTCTGTTACAAAACAACTTCCGACACGACGATGCTCGCTGCTGCCACACCGATGTTCGCTTCGTCCCGTTTGGTTCGGACCACCTGCCCGTCCCAAACTTTCCTAGTTTTCCGCGCACGCCTCATTCTGCCATTGCGCATTCATCACTGTCGCTCCTCCGTCATGCAAAAAGTTGGCATCCCCTACGGGCTGGGTTCCGCCTGCGGACTGCCTGCTGCTGGATACGTTTTCCCCACTGCTGGGTTTTCCTTTTGCTTAAAATTTCCCGCCTCCCCCTTTGGGGGATGGGGCGGGGCTTATTCGAACTGCTTCCAGACTGTGCTTGCAATGCACACGTTTCTCCCTTCGCATTTGCCGCCTGGCAGCTCACTGGTGTTGCCTGGCGGTAAGCAGCGTTGCCCCTTTTCTTCCCGCATCTCATTCCCATTGTTATCCAAGTCATTTGTTTGATCGACCCTATCAACACGGTCGACCAGCGCATCAAAGGTCTCCGGCATATTATTCCAAAGCCAATTGCGGATCCCATTGGGCATTTGCGTTATTATTACGCGAATTATTTCTGTGGGGTTAAAATCCTCACTGCACACCTCAAAACCGCTTACTTTACGCGTCTCAAAATCAATCATGTTTTCTCCTTCCCTTTCCTGTATCTTTCCGCCATTAGCGGATATTTTAGGTCAAATCAGCGGTGTTAGTTCCAATGTTTTTCTAAACATTTCGCCCACCATTCTGCATACGTCTTGGGACTTGCAGTCAGCACTCTCTATCAATTTTGAGCCTTTGAACATAAAGCTTCCTCGACAAGATACTGCTTTAGCGGTTCGGGAGTGTTGTTAACGATTGCGGAATTTTGTATTGCGTTTAAAGGGGAGTTAGAGAAGACAAATTAATTTGCAACATTTGCAAGTAAGTAAATAATTTCAAACTTTTGCAGATCTAAATAGGGGAGAGTCCCCCGATGTTGTAGGGCCGGAATCCGCTAATTAACAATTTTTCAACAATCTACAATTTTATAAACAAGTTCGAAATACGCGCTAGAACGGTAAGAAAGGATCTGCGATGTGCTTGAGATGAACATTTTAATATAACTGTTTGACAGAGGTACAAATTTATTGCTGAAAGAGAGTATAATTGTAGCTGAAATGATAAATATTTAATTGGTCTATTGACAGTCATTATTGACGGATAAATCCCGCTCAGAAATATTTTCCTTATGGCATACGCGCAGGCGCAACCTCTCCTTCGGCAGGGAAAGGCAAGGACGATATTTCCGCCTCATATGTAAACAATCGAGGCCCCGCCCCCCGGGAACGGCGTCTTTCCCTCCCCACGGTAGTTTACGTCAATCACATAGGCACTAAAGTTCTGACTGTAGCGTTTGGTCAACGCGTCCCTCTCGCGGATCGGAGAGTGTCCTAGTTTGTCTGAACGGTTGGGAAGATAGAATTTCACCCGCCAGTTCTTGTAGGGGGAACTTTACATAGACTTTATGTGTCACGTAAGGAGGACGATGCTAAATTAAAGCACCAATTTTGCACAATGCAATAATCGGGATGGGAAATTATGTAGTCAGCCATCAAGATTATCCACTAATGGAGGTCATTAAATCTGACCCAAGAATGGGAAACACGGGCATTGTAAGTGTAGCAAGAAGCATTGCGAACAAGACTATGCAAGACACGCAGAAAAACTGAGACACTGAACTTCTGATGTTACTTAACATGAAATGTGAGAAATCAAAAATGTTAAAAAATCGTGGAGAGACAAATCTCTCCATGGACAGTATTTAAAGAGAAGGGACAAGATGCAGATCAATAAAATTCAACCATTTATGTGGCTTAAAAGGGGAGGATTGAAGCCAGAATAGGAAGCATTTGTAATAGCTACCCAAGATCGGGCGTTGAGAAAATGAAAAACCGGTTCTCAAAATTTCTCAAGATGATAAGATAATGTGCAGCATTTGCCAGGAACAAGTAGAAACTATGATCATATCGTCTCAGCTTGTTCAATTCTAGCACAGACCGAATACCTGAAAAGAGACGACAGGGTATGTAGTTACCTTCACTGGCAGATCTGTACCACCCTACAAGTTCCAAACACATGCTTCAAGTGATACGAACACTCACCAAAACCGCTGACGTCTGTTGCACTGTATACCACTATATGACCAGCAAATTCAAATTGATCGCATGATTGTGATAACAAACCGGATATTGTTACACGGGTTTGGGGGAAAAAAGTATATTGTAGATGTTGCGGCACCGTGCGATCTATACGTCGTAACCAAGGAGGCAGAGAAACGTCTTAAATACAAGAGTTTGGAAGTCGGGATCAGCCGAATGTGGGGCGTAAAAGCATAGGTCGTTCGGTTAGTTATCGGAGCTCTGAGATTTATTCCGCAAAATGTGTGTAAGAATTTAGCTAAACTCCCAGGTCATTCAAAAGACTGGTAAGTAATATTGCTTTATTTGGAACAGCTCACATTTTGTGCAAAAGTATTGTATCAGAATTAAAGCTCTTCAATAATGGTGAGTACTATTGATGATTTAAGCAAGGAAGCATCTTATCAACAAAAAGTTCCCCCGGGAAACAACGGATTCCGCAAATTGAATGAAACCCCGCGAAAAGCATTTTCTTCCCGCAAGTCGACGGCCCTTTTTGTCTGTATTGGCGGAATTCTGGCGGAATGACCTCTTTGCTTCCGACATCACTTTCTCATTCACAAACTGGTTCATATTAAATTAAGGCTTTATCAATCATTCAGAACTCCATGAAAAAAAAATGTTTGATCGTTCTCTGCTTACTTGATATTTAAAATATCTGGCAAAGAATTTCACAACTCATTTACTACTAATAAGGTTTTTTTTTAGTATTCAAATTTTCATAAATGTTGTTTCATAATGTACTACATAAATATAATTAATAATGTTATAAATCAGGAGTTTAAAAAAACAAAAACAATTTCATTATATTGTTAAACAATTTATTTAAAAACATGTATTTTATTTTAAATAACTTCGTTTATTCACACGTCTCAATTCAGTATTTTGTGTTACCTACCCAAAGTGTAACAACGAACTCAACAGTATACTACACTACTGGTCCAAGGAGACTGACTGAATCTGGAATGACAAAATCTACTATAATACTTATATAAAAAAATCCATCTAATCATGTTCACTTCTTTGCCAAGAGAAAAGTTGAATCTAACCTCTCTACTTGATGCCACATATCTTCAAAAATCTCTTAATTTCCAACACACCAAATAATAACCAGAATTTATTGACTACTTTTTCAATATAAAAATATGACATGCATTTTGAATCATTGTGCAGAAGCTATGGAATGGAAGCTTTAAAAACTGTTATCCACACTGCTAATACTTGTTTAAAATGCACGTATAAAGGGTACTATTTCACAGCATTACAGAAACTCCAAGTAGTTACATTGTTACACCTCAAATAGATAAAAACAATTATATTACAATGGTATTAGTAAGTCAGCGTGATAAGCTTCTTAATGTCAATAAATATATTATCACAAGTGTTGAAGAAAAAGTCAAATATAGAAGGACAATATAAATTTGCAATGAACACAATGTCATTTGTTTATCATTGTATACCAAGAATTCCAAAACTGATTAATTTTATACTAACGTGACTTGAGCAGATAATATTCATCTTGCTAATGTGTGATTCAGTCTTCTCAAGCACCAGAATAATCAGTTTGTTAACAAAATTTGTAATTCGAAATTGAAAATTTCCAATATCTTTTTCGAATGTTATCTGTGTCATTACAATTATTATTGGAATACCTGGTATAGAAATCAAAATTTTCTTCAATTTTACTACATAGAAAGTTGAACAAAAGGGATAATTCAGATAATAAGACACCTAAAGGAGAAACAAGACAGAACTATGTTAACTACTCTTCATGTTTGCAATTAATTATTTTTCTGATACATTTTGAGCATAACATAATTAATTCATTAGTATACAAAATAAATTAAAATATTCCTAATTATTTTTTGTATGGTGGAATGTTCCCTTCTGTTTGCACATCCTAAGCATAACAGTAATAAGACCAATCTAAACTATAGGATAAAAACCATAGGACTAAAATTATATTAAAGATGCCAGTGTTACAGAAATAATGTTCTGTCTTATTTATCTGATTTGAAAATGAAACATATTAAGAAAATATAATTACATAACTTTATCTTAGAGAGTAGTACAGTGACTACAATTTAATTATTTAATGAGATGAGTTAACTTATTTATAACCATTCTGAAGCTAAAGTGGCCAGAGTATTTTAAGTACAAATTAAATATTGAGAACACTGCTCACATAACACCATTGAATGTTCACAGATATATCAGCGAAGAACAATGTATTACAATTTTCAACAGCAAATTACAATAATAAATGTAATGAGGTGAGCTGCAAATGAACTCATTGACACTTAATGCCACAAAAGACTTTTAGAAACTTGGAATACTAGATGATGTTTCATAAATAATAAAATTATTTATGAAAATAAAAGTAGTTGACTAAAAAGTTATTTGATAATTATGAATTTGAAATTGCATTAAAACACCTTGAATATTACAGAAGGGAAGCAAAACACAAAATAAACAGAGATAAAACTTTCTTGGTTGTGAAAGGAAACTACAATACCACAAAATTAATATATGTATATTAATTATATTAATGTATTGTAATATTTTTTTTATATGAATTTTGGTGTGGTATTGTTCTGGATTACAAATTAACAATGCTTCTAAGGTAATAAGATATGGAATAAAGCTATTTCATAAATTTTCCTTTCTGAGCACCTCACCTCATTTAATATCTACACCATGCATCACTGTGAACTGCAGGCTTTTGGAAGTAGTCACGTACTTGAGAACCTTTCAGCTCACAGGAACAAAATGCAACAGAATAGAAAAGCCCACTGTCACTTATTTTTACTGGAAAGTACACTAATTCAAAAGGTACAAAAACATTGTTGCATTGCATTGTATAATAATATATTAAGAGGCAGAAAGTCATTCTGTTTGCCAGAATATTGTATTTCATAAACCTGTAAAACCACAAAATAGCAGAGAAAAGGCATTGTAGAAAAATTTGTATTTTTGTTTAATGTTGTTCATGTTTGATTTGTTCTTCCTAGCAAAATAAGTTAGAAAAACAGCATCAGAGACAGTACTTAGCAAGCACTGGAGTTTGTTTCAAAAGGAAGGCTTGCTTGGCTTTGGCAGGAATGTAGTTGTATATAAGTGTTGCTTGCATTTGTTTTTCTATTCTAGCATGTTTACAGTTAATAGTCAAATTGGAAGGCATTTCTTTCTTGAATTGGCTATAGCTTTTCCCTAGCCACATGGCCATAATGTCAGCACCAATCACAATAAAGATATTCAAATGATGCAAAAATGTTTTGAAAATTGTCTGTTGCAGAACGTTCATGGCCTTTGTAGCTAGATAGCATTTAACCATGACATGGTAGGTAAGACAAGGATTTATGTGAAGCAAGCACAGTCTTATCTGGGGGGAGTGACAATATTGGAGGGGACTAGAATGCACTCAACACATAGAGTAAGTAAATATCACCTGCAAGTCTTCTTTTGGTAGATGGCCTTGGAGAGTGTACTCTAAAGTTACTGTCTAATATCTGTTGATGGAAGCAAATGAAAGGTATACTGCTTAAATTCAAATCTTAAACCTAACAAATAAATTGGTTCTTTAGTTCAATTTCTATTGTGGTAACAGAAAAAGCAGAATATTACTTCAACATCTGGTGGCTTTCTCTAGAGGGGATTACAAAAGATACATGACTTTGGCTGTCAGAAAGAAAGATTAGGCATGCAGTATTTGTTTGGTGTTCACAATACTTAAGAATTTCGGATACACTCAGTGTGTTAAATTTCCGTAATGTACATCTTGAGAGAAGCATCACCACAGATTTGATATATAATTAAATAAAATTGGTCATTCTTATGACAGCCCAAATATATAACTATCAGGATTAATTGGAATGTTAAGAAAATTGTTTGGTCCAACTTAGAATTGGTATTGTTCAATTAGGTACACCAGGAAAGATGTGTAGTTCATTTGGAATGTAAGTAAGGTGACCACCTTTTCATTTCCAGTTTTTCCTCAGATTTTCATCACCACAGTACAATAACCTAATATAAACAATTACTTAATTAAAAATGTGACTTAAGAAGACTATTGCATAAAGTACCTTTCACATGAAACTGAAATACGGTGAGGATCAACAGCAATTTCTTTTGTCTCAAAAATAGATTTTGTGTTAGGTAAAGTTTATGTTGCATATTCTTTATAAATTTCAGTTGAAATTCAGTGAGATTTCGACAAGTAGTTAACGGTTTTGAGTAATCATCAATATGAAGAAACATACTTTGCTTGATTTTTCGTTATTTGTTGAACTCACATTGAATTTAAAATTGAAATTGATATAATAATAATGTGAGTTTTATTTAACAGTAAAATGCCAAGCAATTAATCAAACATGTGAAAGAAACTGGAGATAAAAGACAATCTGGGATTCGATGTAGCTCTTGTTACAAACTGGAAGCACCAGGTGATACAATAAGAGGTAGTTACTCCAATTGTGTGTAATAGTTTAGTTGGGTAATTTTTCAGTTCTGTTAATTTAAACATTTTTCTGTGTTTTCAACTACTACATAAAAGATCAGTTTTTTAAAAATATTTATATACAGGATTTCGTGGGAGGAAACGTCAAAACTTCGAAAATGAGCTCTTAAGATAATTTGAAAAATATTTTGTCTAATAAACTACAGGAATATTCCGAATGATTGAGCACTCAAAAGTTGGTTTGAAAAACTGCTTTTTAGCCAAAACTTTGCATTGCAAAAGCATAGGAACACTCCAGAAACGTAAGTTGTTTATTATTTACAAAAGAAATGAATGTATTTGTTCAGAAAGAAAAATTAACCCCAAAATAAGAAAAGCTCCCAATTTACCCATTTTGACTGCTTTTTGTTTCTTGAGTACGTTTTCTTTTTGAACAAATATATTCCTTTCTTCCATTCAGAACCACTCAGGCTCAACCATTCAAAATAACCCAGTAGTTTATTAGACAAAATATGCTGAAAACTGTCTAATAGTTTGTTTTCGAAATTTTGACGTTTCCTCCCCGAACACTCTGTAGAATATAAATTTTACGAACACATAAAACGTTATTTAAAACATGAAACAATGAACTACACAACTTTCCCATGTATGTAGGCAAGATTACATGCTGTATCTGCTATTCAGGAACTTGTAAAAGAGTTGTAATGTAAGTACCATGCCCAGTCAAGCAGAAAATTGCATACACCTAACACTTGCCCAGCAGACAACATGGAATGTATTTTTTTGTTTCAAAATAACATGACTTAGTTAATAAAATTATCATCTCCAATACTAATCTCTTCGAGTATCTAACCCTATTCATAAATGTCTTTATTCGGTAAAGCTCTTGGTTATTATAAAAAATGCCTGGAATGACGATACAAAACATCTCGCAATCCTGCAGCCACATCACACGAACAAAATTCTTTTGGCACATCACAAAAAAATAATATATTTTGTTGCTAAGTCTTGGAGCGTCCGCTCGTAGCGCCCGCTTGGAGCGCCGTCATCGCCGCCGCCGGTCGGCAGGCGACGCGCAACGGCGGGCGAAGCGGCGGAGGCGGCGGTCACGCGTCCGAGAAGAGGAACTCGCTCTCCGAGAGCAGCACCTCCAGATCGGACGGGACGGTGTGCAAGTTGGAGTCGACGTCCACGTCTCGCGCGAGCACGGGCGGCGGGGGCCGCGGCGGCGGATGCGGCTGCGGCGGGGCGGGCGAGACGGGCGCGGCTGAGGGCGGGGGCGGCGCGGCGCCCGGGGGCAGCGGCGGCAGCGGCGGGCTGCGTTGGACGGCAGCGGGGGGGGTGTAGCCCGGCGTCGCCCCCGCCGCCGCCGCCGCCGCAGCCGCCGCGCCACCGCCGCCGCCGCCTCCTTGGCCGCCGCGCTGGGCGCCGCCCCCGGGGCGCCGGCTGCACCTTGCGGTGGTTGGACCCCCGCGGTGGCGCTCGCGCTGCTTTCACCAGGAGCCGCCCGTGCGCGCGCCCCGCCCGCCCCCGCGCCGCGCCCGCGCGCTTCGCCCCCCGCGGCGCGTCCGCTGCCGCCCCGCCCCGCTCGCCCGCGCGGGCGCGCTCCACACCACCACCGCCCCCGCCACCGCCGCCCGCCTTCTCCGCGCCGCCGCAGCTTCAGCTGAACTTGAACGGCGGCTTGTACACCACCTGCAGGCGCACGCGCGTCTTCGCAGTCCTTCTTGGAGGCGCGCCGACTGCAGGTTGCCCGTGCTGAGACGGAGCGCTCTTGTCGGGGCGGCGCCCGCGGTGGCGCGGCGGCTGCGCGCGCGCCTTGACGCGGGCTGCGCGGAGCAGCGCGGGCGGGATGAGCGCCGTGGCCGTGGGCGGGGCGGGCGCGGGCGCCGACGGGGCCGGCGCGCGGCGGGGGCGGGCGCCGGCGCCGGCGCGCCGCCGCCGTCAACTCCACCGGAGTGGACTTGGACTTGGGGATGAGCGCGGTGTCACCCACCTGGTGATGGTTGAGCAACCAGTTTTTGACTTTTCCGACGGGGTCGTGTTCGGGCGCGAAGCGTGGGGCTGCCGCCCTAGGAGCCCTATCACCGGAAGCCCGTGTTTTTCCTGTAAGAGCGCTATAGTCTATCACTTCCTTATTCTTCTTTTTGGTGAGCGCTTCTTCTTGTTTGCCTTGGCGGCTGAAGGGAGCAGCACGGGTCGTTTTCGGGCGCCAGCGGGGGCTGGCGACCAGCAGCCCTATCACCGGAAGCCGTGCTTTTCCTGCAGGGCACTATAGTCTATCGCCTCCTTTTCATCTTCTTCTTGCGAGCGCTTCTTCTTGGCGGCCTTGGATGCGGACGCGAGCTTCTTGGGCTTGGCGGCGCCGGCGCCGTCGTGTGGGCGTGGTGGGCGTGGTGGGCGTGGTCGGCGTCGTGGGCTCCTTGGCCGCCTCGTCCGAGGCGCCGCCGCCGCGGCCTTCGCCGCAGCCTTGGGCGGCTGTCGATGGCTTCTTCTTCTTCTTGAGCGGCTTTCTTGGCGGGGAGGCCTTCGCCGGCGCGCGCTCGACCCGTCGCTTGCGCGGCGCGTCCGGTGTCGATCCCGGGCCTCCCGCACCGGCGCTTGAGCGGCAGCTTGCAGCGCACCGCCGCCGGGTGCACCGTCACCGCGCCCGGGCCCGCACCCACCCGCCCGCCCGCCCCGTCCGTCCTCCGGGGGAAGGCGAACCGTCTCCGTCGTGGAGCTGTGGATGATCGTCACAGCCTTCAGCTTCGACTCCGGGCGCTTGCCCAGCAGCCTCGTGCTTGCCACCTGTGGACAGACGGACGTCATTCAATCGCATGCCATGGAGAACGTCGTGCCCCAGCGCAAGGAATAAACTCTGTGAAGCGGGGCTCTTAACAAAAAACGTTTATTAAGTTTAAAGTGAATAAAGTAAAGTTAAATGAATAAAGTTTATGACCGGCTTAAAACCAGAAAATCTAAACGGTTTCTGAGAAGTCGTTTGTGCATATTTATTTTCTTATTGTCTCATGTTTATGTAGATATGATTTCATATGCGGTATTATTTCACTACTTAATTTCGTGAAGAGATGTGAATATATTTTAAATTCCGTTTATCAAATAAGGTTTTTTAGTTTCTGTTGAAATTGAAATGCATCTCGTATTTCATCATGAACAAGTAACTTTGAAATATAATATGTGTTCTAAATACAAATTTCTCTTAAAACTTGGAAAGGATTTTTGGGTTCTCCTATGAAGGTAAGGAATCTACGACATATTTCGATTATATTCTACTTAAAGCTACTTAAGTATATAAAGCGCAGCGGTGAGGTCTTCAAAGAATATGATTGCGAGATTTTATTAGCAGATGGCTTCTAGAATTACAGCACTCATTTTTCAGTAGGTGCAGTGAACGAGGGGCGGAGCTACAGTGGTAATATGCGAAATTTTAACGAGATGAGAGTCAATATTAGGTAACTGGGTTTGGACGTCAAGGTCAGGTTTTAACCACTTACATATCACAGATTGAGATTTTGTCCGCCTCGTCTTCTGCCAAAGAAATGGCACACACATTAATTTGAAACGCGAAAAGTATAAATTAAATAAAACAAATAAAATGTTTATGATTCACTTCAGAAAATAAAATATAGAAGATACTGACAATAAACATTCATTGGTTTAACACGTGGGTTGAAAAAATTAGTAAATATATTTCTATAAAACATAAATATAAATCCACATGTCGTTTAGGAGCTCAGCCATTATCTCTAGTGAAGTCACGTCGTCGTTTACCAGCAGGAAGACGAATCCCACGACGATGAAGAGGACTGCGTACCAATGGTCCGCCACCCACTTCTTGAAGGAGGCGATGCTCTCGTCCGAGAGCAGCAGCTTGCGGAGAGTTGCCAGCGGCCCTGACGGGTCCACCTACGCAAGCACAGAAGAGGTTCAGCCCACTGAAAAGCAATGCCCCCTCCCCAACTACGTTACTGGCTCTTCTCCCTTATCGTAACGAACGTGAAGAAATCGGCCCCCTTCCGGGAGAACTTAGCGTACGACAACATGCACTCGCGAGCCGAATGGAGCCCTATTTACAACTTCCAACTGTTGACGATTCGTTACGCACGGCCAATCTCATGACGAAGCTTCGTCCTAAGCGGATAACATACAACATCCTTGAATTTACCTTTGACATAGATTTCAACGCATTTTTATTCGAAAGTATTTTTTGACGAACACATCTAATCACACTTGATGCTTCGCTACCCTTGGAAGTTCATAAGATTTCGCCCTTCGGCCAACGCGATTAATATAAACCTATAACGCATAATTTCCAAAGCATTTTACGCCCAACACGTTTTTTAGACGACCAATTGTTAACTTGGTTTTTTAGGGCATGCGCAGCGTGCAAAAGTTCAATGTTTAGCACAAGTGCTTAAAGTGAGACGATGCTCATGTGTTCAGATAAATCTACGAATGCAACAAGGAAAACAAACCACATCAGTAACCTCAATGCATCGTTAAGTTATTTGTATACTTGAATTAAAATAAAAGGAAAGTCAGTAAGGCTGTGTTATGACACACGCAGTAAAAGTGATTTTATTTTGTTTCTAGGATTGCACCATTCACCCTACGGGCCTCGCGTCGCAACGTACTCGCAAATTAAAAAGTCACTTTTACCACTCGCATCGTAAATAACTATTTAATCAATTGAAACGTGCCTTTTCATTTGATCTACGAAGCTAAATCCACCACTCTCTTTTTCACTCCCGTTAACCGGTCCGGCGAGTCGAATCGTTACGAAAAGGGATAAGACGCACGCTATTTTGTCCCGCGAAACGAGCCACATCAACTCGTGCTCGTACGATGTCAAACTCCGCTGTGACTGCAGGTTCCGTGCATCATGCTTCACTCTTGTGATAGATGCAACGGCAACTTGAGATAGGGGCGTGAAAATCTAGGCAAACCATCATGGAAACCATTCATTTGGTTTTTGCCCAATGAAGTCAAATATCTTTTCCCTGATATTTGTTTGCTATCATCTCGTATGGAATATGACACTAGAAGAACAGTGCAGTTACAGAAAATGTTTATTAATACCAGTGGAGTGTACGAAAAAACACTGTATAAAGTACTTCATAATACAAGATGTTACATGACTTTTGAAAAATTTATTATTAATAATTCATTTCAATGTACATGTAAATATTTTTCACACTAATAAGAAATGTATGCATTTAATGTAACATTACATGTCATTCTTTGTTTCATAGTATACTTAATGTCAACTAATTGGTTGTAAGAGTGGCAAACCACTGTTGTACGCCTCTGATTTAGCAGTTATTTTTACCGACTTTTATACAACTTTAAACAAATTGAGGTATTTATAGGCGTTTGTGAAGAAAATTACCGTAGATATTGTCATAAATAAACAGCACTCCATTTGACTCACCTCTCTACATTTTTGAAAGACATCACAGTAACCATTGTAGTTGTTACAGGGCGTGCCTGGTTTGGAGTACATATCTGGAATATCCAATGGATATGTGTTCCATTCGAAGGATGACCTGCAAACATAAATAAGAGATGTAAATTAATGATTCAAGATAAAAATAACATCTTACAAAAAATAATTAGTTACGCTCTGTATATCATGTTTTAAAAAATATTACGTACATTTTTTAATGTATTGTTAATTAATATGTTTTGAAATAGAAAAAAAACAGTCAAACTAACGTTCACAAAGTTGAAGAAGGTGATTATCAACAAAGACACGCACAAACACTAAACAGAGAGTGATTCATTCTCAAAACGTTCAGTGGTCAATCGATTCCCGTCGTAACGAGAGAGTAGTATCGTTTTATTGCAGACAATTTCCGAAGTTTCAGGTAGGTCAAGCACGTTTTATCTCAGCATATACGAAGTTATGACACACGTAAAACGCTTTCCGTGTACACTGCACCCTCTCTCAGCTTCAAAGCCAAAGAGATCACCCGTACTACCGAAGGCACTACACCGAGAACTTAAACCGAGCTCCGAAAATTAATTAGAAACTCCAGGACAATAAAAGAGCGTTCTGTGCCATCGATCGCCTCGCAGGGCGTCTCGAAACGGCGGCAAACGCTGCAAATAAGTTTTGATAAGGCGGCCATGGAACGGCGGCGGCGTTTTACGGCACGGCCACCAGGTGCGCTCCGGTCGCGTTATGATTACGCGGCGGGTTTTATGAGAGGCCGTAAAGAGAGCGGAGGCGGCGGTGGCGGCGGCGACGGGCCCTCGAGGGCAGAAGGGCCGATCTAGGGACAGTGCGGAAGGGCGTATTAGATTTTCCTCTCGAGAACAGAATCGCGTTACAATGCTGGGCGTTGATTGGACGAAATGAAACTTGCAATGTATTTAGAGAACAGTTACCTCGTTTCGGAGGTGACGAAGGTGTTGAGAAGGGTTTGTCATCTAATAAGTTTCAAACAACATTCTTTCTTCCAAGTATACAGCTAGATAATTTTAGTAAATAGATTTCTGTTTCCTTTGTAAACATTGAAGAAGTACGCATTTCTACGTAACTACCAACTGAAATCGAAAGCAAACTGATCGGACAAATGACATCTCTAATATCCACAAACTGTCTGCCATGAGTTTATCTACTTAAGCAAGAACTGAAAGTTAAGATTTAACGTGTTGTATTTCATTTGCCAATTAGAAAAGAACACACATAACAGAAAGTATATAAAATCTATACAGTAGAAACTATTGATACATATTATTACCCAGAGAAACAAAACTTTAATTATTTTGGAACAATGTGTGTTTCATTTAACGTCAACAATTCACAAATAAAATATATCAACTCTTTACTTTTGATCTCTGTTACATTTCATCACATAAGAATCAATGAATTCTCAAACTTCTATCTTCACTTTAACTGTCACATGACTTGTGATATGAATTAATTTTATCACGAGGGCATTTTACATGATTCTCACATGAGGAGGGGATTCTCACATGAATAAATGATATGACACCAACTCTACTTTAAATTTATATGTTAATAATATGAAATTAAAAATTCCACGAAAATTGGATCTTTCGTAAGTCCATAAAATCTCCTTTTACGCACTTATTTACCCACTTCACTCGTTCCCACACAATACACCCATCAGATTGAAACATCGCCTGCCTAAAATGTAGAGAATGATTAGCGTCTTAACGCCATTCTACGTCACCTTGGAGTGCGAGGAGCATTTCGAAAGAGAGCAAACTACTTTTCGAAAAGCAAATTAATTGCATCGAGCATCAAGATCAAAATGGGAAGAGATAGGTTTACCAAGCTGTTGTTATTAATCTTAGTGTCCCAGGAACTTACGATAAAGCTGACAATAAAGTCTGGCCAGTTACCGACACTTTCGTAAGGCACGTAGTAGTGACTATTTACAAAAGTCCTACTTACTACTCCGAGATGAGAATCATAATATTGATTCTGGAGAAAAATGGGAGTACTGGGCGTTTTGAAGGGAACGCAGACACTAAACTGGGCGATGGAAAGGCAGAAATGCCAACTCCCAAGAAACATAAAATCTCTTAAGAGCTAAAATGACTCGCTGGGACCCGAATTAAAGAAATTTACCCCGCCCGCAACGTCCTCATCGATGCCCAAGGAGTTGGTAGGATTCGTTGTCAGCTGAATAGAATCCTAATACCAGGCTTGGACTAGGAGGTGGCGCGCGGCAGAGGGAAGAGGGAAGAGGGGAGGGGGAGGGGCGCCACCCCGGAGGAAGAGGGGAAGGGCGCGGCGCGCAGTCGGTGGCTCCCAAGAACCACAATTACGCGCCGCCCGGGAAGGGCAAATGAGTTTCGGATTGTTTGCGCTTCGCCGGCCCGCGGCACGCTTCCAATTACCGCCTTTCATTTGACCCTATAAATTCATTTCGACGCATTGTACACTAATCAATTAGTTGTTCATTAGGGATCAGGTTAAACGAGAGGTGGTTTAAATGTGAATAACTCGGGAGTGCAAGAACGCGGCGGGCCGGGGCGGAGGTAAGCGGGAGGAGGGGAGGCAGAGCGGGCGAGGGTAGGGGCTGGGCAGGAGGAGAGAAAGCGGGGAGAGGTGTATGATGGTCGGGGGCGACGGCGGGGAGCGGGGAGGGATGAAGCGAGCGGGTGGAGGGGAAGGGCGGAGAGAAGTGATGCCAGGACATTGGTGGAGCGGCGAAGGGTGGTAAGTGGCGGTGTAGGGAGAGGGCACAGAATGGAGCGTGGTGGAGAAGGGGGCTATGGGGTGGGTTTCGAGGCGGAGCGGGGCGTGATGAGGGAGCGAAATGGAGCGTGTAGGTAGCGGAGCGGGTGAGTGAAGCGAGGGGAGCTGAGTGGAGTGGTTGGCAGCGAAGAGGGGGGAGGGGAGTAGAGCCAGGAGGGAGGGGTGTACGGAACGGAAGGGAGTCGGCGGGACTCGGCGGGCAGGGATGGGATTGCGGACGGGGCTGGGCGGGCAGCGGGGCAGGGCAGAGCAGGGCGGGCAGGCGGGGGGGGGGGGTGCGGGCGGGGCGGGGCGGGCGGGCGGGGGCGCGGCGAGCAGGGCGTGCGGGGCGGGGTGGGCGGAGCGGGGCGGGCGGGCGGGCGGGCGGCGGCTGGGCGGGGCGGAGCGAGGCTGGGCGGCGGGCGGGGCGGGGCGGGGCGGGGCGGGGCGGGGCGGGCGGGGCGCGGCGGGGTGGGGCGGGGCGGGGCAGCGCCCCCGAATTCGGCCCACCGCATCCCTCGGGAAGTGGCTGCTGCGACCCGCCGCCATTGCGTGCCGCAATACCTGGCGAGGGCTTATAACTAGCCGGCGCGGCGGCGACCGTGAATGAGGAGTGCGGCTGCCGCGCTCTTCGTCGAGGTTAACATCGATCGGGGCCCCTTTTGATTCACAGAGCCCATGGACTCATATCGGCTAATTTGATTCCATTCCATTGGATTACTTTAGACATTCGTAGCATTTGATTTTGCTGACGCACAAAGCTACTGTTGTTAGATAATAGTTATGGATGTTAACAAGAAATAAACTTTTCAATAGAATAATTCGCTATAAAATGATATCCATGCACAATTTTTTTCAATATCATGATCATTATACAACTGCCAAATCACAATATATTAAATAATGCCGTTCACCTCCAAAATAGTTAATCGAGAATTAGAACAAAATTATGAAATTAATTTTAGTTTGATTTAAATGCCTCCCAGAGTTGAAAATTATTTGATAAAAACATTGAAGCTGCTTGAGGACTACGAGCCAATGTTGGCCTGCTGATTGCATGCGACGCGACTATGGGTCGTCCATTAATTCCGAAACGCTAAAGAGGGAGGAGGGGGTTTGGGGTAACGTTACACTGCGTTACATTGGGGTAGAGGGGTCATAGTTTAGTGTTACGTAATATTTATGCTGATATTTATTTTTTATATCTTTCAAAATTTGCTGAAATAATTTCTTTTCTTCATTCTTATACCAAAACATTTCAACATTAACAAATTAAATTAATAATATAATAAATTAAGAAATTATATTGCACAAATTGTTTCAATAAATGAAAATATTTTTCATCATTGATATATTGATTGAATCTTTCAGATTACGAAGAAAATATTCAAAACTGATCTATAGCATATTCTAGAATCCAATTAAATTGGAGCAGAAGTCTCGGAGCCTTTGCGTCATGCACGGCGGCGTGAGCACGGATTGTCAAAAATTGTCTCGCCAACGCGTCCTTCTTTCTTTCAAAAATTGTTATACATTAATTATAATAAATTTTAATGTGTAACACAAATGTAATTAATACAACTCGTTTCTCCTTTATAATTGAGTTTTACTTATTGGAATAGGGGGAAGAGTCACAAGCGTTACGTAATTATAGAAGAAGGTTCAAGTATGCGTTACAGGGGGGAAAGGTGGTATTCAAAATAATTTGCGTTACGTAATTTATGCACGACCTCTATAAAAATCTTGCCCCATTACAAATATGTTCTTCACAATATTATTTACTGATACTCAGAAATTAGAGAGAGACAAGTTATGAAATATAGTAATGTTCCTATATCACTAATGTACGAGTATTATATTTTGTTATTGAAATAAAACAATATTATCAGAGTATATTTATTAGCTACATATTTTTAATTGTTTTGTTCACCCATTATTGGGAAACTACAAGCTAAGGAAACTTGTTCTAATAGTGGAAGTATGAAGTAATTTTATATTCTATATTATTATTAGTTTAATGATTCTTTAAGAAAATATAGAAAACCACACGTTATAGTTTCATGTTGTTTGAATGATTTTCGCTTGTTTAATCAGCATATTGATAGTATTTGTAATAATTAACATCTTAAAATTGATAGAACTTATTTGTGTGAAAGCAAATAAAGTTTTATTTCATTTGGACCTTCTAGTTACACAACAGATCAAAACCACACACACTCTGTATCTGATTAAAATCCCAAACACTCTGCTACCTGCATAGCACTAATGGTACAGACATAATAATTAGCTTTATTAGCTAAATTACTTAGTTTGATAATACGTTACGTAATTTTGTTATATCGTGAAATTGTAATAATGTCGAACTGTTTAATACGTGTCTTTCCAACGACTAGAAAATTATTATGATTAGAAGCCATCGAATCTTTGGTAAATCATACAAACAATTAACTTTCGAAAATAATATACTCTTATTAGAAAAACCAGTATTAGTGTAAACGCTTTGAATAAAAATAAATAAAAAAAGAATTCGTTATTTTCGAACTTACTTGCAGACAGCTCCGTCGCCAGGCTCCTTGCAGCAGAGTTCGCACGCTTTAGTCTTCGGGTCATGGGGACCAGGCAGGCACTGGCACGATTCCAACCCATACGCCAGACAAATTGAGCCCGTGCATTCCTACAAAACATTCACGCATTTCTCAGAAGAATTCAAAGAAGCACATTTCAATTGCTATGAAAATAATTTCTAAACTTTTAAAACAAACTATACGTTATACTATGTTATTAGTCCAGCAAGTGTAACAACACGCACACCAACACAGTGCGTGTAGTAAATATAGTAATATTTTTATCACGAGAGGTGGCGGTGATCTGCAAACGCTTGAGAGTGAAATCCGACGCCGATCTATACATTGGCTCATGGGCCCCATTGAAGTATTTCCCACCAGTGCAGCGGGGTACCGCCCCAGCCGGATCAGGCTCTAAGCTCTCCGGTCTCCCGTGATGCGTGGTAGTATAGTGCATGCAAGAGTACATTTGTACATGTAAGGAAGTATAAAAAGGTAAAGGTCAAGGAAAAGAAGGAAATATTGCTCGCGGTCCATGGTCTGTATATTATGGCACTGTTCCAGCATTCGACTGGTGTAGATCGGAGAAAAAAACCAATCAGAGCAGTCGATCACTAGAATTATCCTCCACACAGGCGGTTTCGCGTTTAATTCGAGCCACCAATGCAGCTAGTGTCGAAAGGTCCTGCCATCGTCTAGAAATCGAACCCTGGGACCACCCAGACAGAGACCACTGCAGTACATCAGTTTTGATGCCCTGAGCGATCTCAACCGGTTTAGATGTGGAAATATTCGTAGACCTTACTACAAGATACAAGATTAAATTTCTACAAGATGATTAATTCTGCATTAATTATTTCTATTAATGGTTTGAGAAAAAATGAAAGAAAGCACTGTAATGACAAACTAATATTACATACGTCAAGAGTTCAAAAATTGATACTTCACCGTGAAATATCAAACGGTGAATCAAATAATATTCATCAGCTTCAGTATCAGCATGCAACATTCTGTAAACTATTATAAAATAAATAATAAAACAGAAAACATAAGAATTTCCTCCTGAAGTTTCCTATAGTTTTTCTGGTATTAAGTCATGCGTGAAGCATATATAGATGCAAAGGGGTAAATGTATTGCGGGACTGTATCTACTCCGGAACCGCTCGAAGTACTAAATTGCTGTCCGATTTCAGAACGCTTCAAGAACTAAGTTCCACTTTCTTTTCTCAGAAACATTGGTAAAATTGAAACACACTGGAATTTGGATAAATGAAATGGGGGAAAATAGAAATATATGCATTCCTGCAATGCTGTTAAATGATTTACTTCTGAAGCCTAACATGATAATCGAATGAGGTTAGAAAGCTTAGCCTCGCGTACACTTCCTGCTGTTCAGCTCAGCCAACGGGGACCAGCCAGTGATATCGAGCGCGGATCTGATCAGACCAAAACAAACGAGTAGCGCACCTAATTCGTCGTGCCGAACGCTCGCCAGTTCGACTCCCGATTGCGTTCTCCCCGATTTGCAGCGCGCCGCTCGATATTAACCTGATTTGCGAGCGCGCGTCGCTTCATGATTGGGCGAAGGCAGGAGGCGCGCGGGCAAACACCACTGATGAACCAATCGGGCGGCGTTTGGGCGCTGCGATCGCCGGCGGATTAACCCGCTTCCCCCGCGCGCCGTTTCGCGTGATTGGCGCTAACGATTATAAATCGAAGAGACAAGAACAATACTAAGGCGAAAACGAGTTCTGCAGTGTATCGTTTTCGTTGTCACGACAAATTTGCGCTATTGAGTTAAAGCGCTTCTACAGATCCAATTAAACGCGCCTTGCTTTTATATCAGTTCCAGAAGCAGAACAAACAGTTCGAGTTTGCCCCTAGTTCGATTAGGAATGTTTACAAAAGTGTACACGAACTTTACGTTTTTTTCGAGCCGTTTTAGAGAAGAACGAATTAACGTGTTGGGTAAAAATCACGATTGCAAATTCGTCGTGACCGGGATGAGTTTATAGACAAATCGAATGATTGTCATTGAGGAAATAAATGAAAATTGTAAAATAAAAACGTTGTGAAATGTGAAAGAATGGGGAAGAGATTGGAAAGATTTTCTAAGAAAGCGTTTCAGTATCTGCGAAATGTGTTTCAAGTAACAGGAAGGCTAGAAATGTGAGTTGAAAGGAGCTAAAGTTCTTATGTGAAAAATTGCGTTTTCAAAACACTATTTCAGTTATAGATGATAATGATGGATAATAATTAATAAAAAATAATGGATGACGTTGAGGACACAGTAAATACCATGAAAAAGTTAAACAATCTAATTATGCACTAACACACAAAAGTATCTTGTCATACAACAGATAGCTAAATGGCCTAAATTTTAAAAAATCAGCACAGAGTCCTCAGCCTCAAATAAAGACATCCACTAAGAGAAAGAGAAGGCCGAGAGTGTACTCACGCCCATGAAGCAGACGAACTCGTCGTTGCAGACGGTCTTGTTGGGCTTGTTGACGGAGGGCGGGCAGGCGGGCCCCCGGCCGTCGCAGAAGCTGGGGTCGCGGCAGCCGTTGTCCTCGCGGCACAGCTCGCCGAACTTGAGCTCACACGATGCGGTGCAGCACGGGCCCTGCCACAGCACACGCAACTATTCATTTGTGCCCACAAATCAGCAACTCCCGCAGCGCAAACGAGTTCGCCACTAATTATTGCAGCAGGCTAGTATGGTTGTGAAGGCTTTCTGGCCTTAAAATTTCAATAAAAAGTTTCGGGGCAATAAGACCGAAGGGCATACAGTTTTTTTTCATCATACAGTGCATACAGTTGCAGAACCTGTTTATATGCACGCATATGTACCACAAAGAAAGGTAAGTTTCAGTTTACTCTAGGGCAAGATATGCAAGACATGATCAGTCCTTCATGACTTTTCTAAACCTTTTTACTGACTCGCCAACAAGATACTTACGTGCTAAAGGGAAAGTACTATAATGTTGCTATTGCGAAAATTAGCAAACATTTTATGGATTGGAAACACATTTTCAATTTCAAGTACTGTTATAATATTAAGTAACAGTTATAAATAATGTGAGAAAGAACGTAATGTTGTAGCTCTAACAGTTTTAAATATAAAATGTAATTGGGGTTTGGAAGATAATTGTGATAACATTAACGTAAATATGTTAAGTTACAATCTCAGTGAACTGAACTTAGATTAGACAAGCTGAGCTTAGATTAGCCACTATTTGATTTCTGCAATTTGTTAGGCATTATCTTTGAAAGGAACAGAATAATTATCGCATGTTTAGTTCAGGATTTCTCTCAAGTGTTTTTTGGAACAAATGGAAACACAATAGATTAAATATTCTGTACGTATCAATGATAAACAATTACATGCTCAAAGGAATGTTGTAAAATTAATGTGTAATTTATGCTTCATTTCATTGTTACATTTCATTTTTCATGAAATTTATAATGGAAAAAATATGATCACTGATGCTAATGAGATATTAATGAAATTATACGCTTCAATCCATATGTGAAGTGCACTTTGTAGAATTCTGATAAAATAAAGTGCATTATTTACGAGAGAAAACGAACAGAACAATTAAATATTACAAATGAAATTCTGATTTGATCAATTTGGGGGGAAATTTTAATGGAACCCATTCACATACAGAGCGAATAAATCATGAATCGCAAATATTTCCAATTTCTTTTCATGATTATTATTGAGTAACTTGTCCAAAATGTTTCGATTGTGATTATGCTAGCTAATACCACATAAGTACATAAGCTTCAACTTCTAATTTTTACAGTGGACACGTGATTTTGTGGATATAATGATCTTAATAATGACGATAAATGATGGAACAAAGGGATTGCGAAGGGAAGGTGAAACGGGAGAACCTGCTTTGTTCGCGCCCGTTTTCGCATGGGCGTGAGCAGGATCGGAACGGCTGACTTCACCTGCAGGGAGCGGGAAGGAGAGGAGATAAGCGTATCGGCTTCAACCTTGTGTCGTATGTGGAATGGGTGGTTGATTTGGTGGAGAGGGGTCATTTATGAATATAAATGATGTAGCAATGGGATACCAGGAGGAAGGAAGAACCTCGAGGACTGGCATAATTCACGTGCGGTTGGCCGGGATAGGGGGATTCCGAGGGGGGGGGACAGGCAGCTCAGAGGAAACCTTGCGGACGTGCCTGGTCGCACTAGGGCGCAGGGGGGGGGGCAGCGGGCGGACGCACCTGCGACGGCGAGCAGGCGGCACCTGCGGCCAAGGAGCAGGGCCTCTCGCCGGGCGGCGCGTGGCGGCGCTGCGGATGGCAGCAGCGGTCGCGGCAGTCCTCCTCCCAGCCGCAGTCGCACTCCTCGCCCGCCTCCACCACGCCGTTGCCGCACAGCGCCGCCTGCGGCTCTGCAAGCGCACGCGCAAAGCGGCTTCAGACGACCCCGCCCACGCCCACGCCCCCGCGCAGTCGCCAGCAGCACGCGGCGCGGCAAACCAAGTGGACATTCGCAGAGGACCTTAACGCCTGCGCCACGCATTCGGCCTTCAGCAAGCGGTGAGCAACTAATCCCTAGTAGTGTGGACGGGTTGCTTGCTATTTCTCGAACGCCGACACGCTTCGGGGCTCGTTCTACCCGAAGCGAGTCGTTCTTTTCGGCTCATCAAAAGAAGCTAACTTTCGTCTTTCGAGCTCCTCGGGATTGGGTGAGCCGTGGCTCGCTACTCGCCGATTGCTGAATGCGGGACCATATTCAACGGCGTGACTGCGTTGAGCCGCGACACGCGTGTAAGCGACTCCGGTCGCGACGTGGAACGTCCCCGTGTGAAATGGCAGCCTCGCACTGACGTGCTTTTAGGACTTTTCTCATGGAGAGGGTAAGACACGCCAAAATGGGTAAAATGAATCGCGACTACGAGTTATTGAAGACGTACTTATGAAATTCATTCATGTCAAACAATTTTCACAATTTTTTAATATTTATTTTAATTTTATAGTATACCTGGTTGATTTCTGTTAAGCAATAAAAATATACATTACACGAGATGTAAGCCTCCTTATTGGTAGTAGTGGTTGACGGTCTACAAGTTCGTGACGAAAAAGTTCACAAACTGACATACCGAAATGGGTGGGAATGCCCCACCATTGTCCTTTTTTGGAGGAGATATGAACACACGGTATTTATAAAGATGAATTCAAAGGACTCTTATTTGTCATTCCATTACTTACTTGTCAATTTCGCACATTCTCAGTCATTTCACATCACCAAATTTCAATAACCATTGATTTTAAAAAAGGAAATTTATTTTTCAAGATGCTTCAACCCTATTGCGGTAACACAGTGTGAGAGTTACTTTTGGAGCAACAAATAGGCGAGCTTCTACAAACGTTTGAGTTGATCTTCTGTAAATATTTACAATGTATTGTAGAAAATGAAATAAATGTGGTATAATGGTTTGTCTTCGAACTCTTTTTTCTTTTTGTTCCTTTTTGTTTTACATTTTATATTTATCGGTGGTTTCTATTCATCATAATGTCCTTAGCTTTTCTTTATTTCGCTCGCCTCTTATAAATAATTACTTTTAGAATGTATATTTTTTTAAAATCGAAATGAAGTGTATAACTTCATTTATACAGTAAAATTTTAAAATATTGGCTTAATTACTAAAGAGAAACGCGTAACTCATTTTTTCCCCACGAGGAGCTCCGGTTCTATCATTACCGTGTAAAAAGTTCCCTACACACAAATGTATTTGCGCTACTTCACAGTTCATAAATCCATCTATCTTTTCGGTGGATTTTGGTTAATCAGGAAAAGAAAAAGGAAAACAAAAGTTAAAATAATATTTCAAGGCTGGTTACGCGGTAGCGAACGGAGAATGTTTTGCGTTTGACTAATTTGTAAAAGCATATTTGTAGTACATCCGCATCGTGATCCTATAAATTCGTAGAAACATGAGATTCATATGGGCGGCAAACGTGCAATTACATGAGTTACATTTCGCCTTCTGCGGAAACCGCTGTTTGTGATTACTGGAATAATTATACCGACGTTGTCCAAAACTGATTTCGAGTTTTTCTTTCATCTGATGTCAATGAGTGGTTTACATATCCTATGCTCACCGCAACGTGAAAATGACCTCGTTTATGTCTTTTTTCTCACGTGTTGCAGAATTATTTGTGATCACAGGATTTCGTGGTGGTGGAATTTACCGCAAATGAGTTCTCTTTTGTTTTGGACGAGTTTGTACAGCGGCCACCACTAATGGATGGATCCATTTCATTGGGAGCAAAGGGAAACTAATATAATCATTACATTGATGAGAACGTAATGAATATAAAAATATATAATAAATGCTACCTTTATATCATCGATATAAATTAATTATAATAATATGCATTAGTACTACTTAAATCTAACATTACAAAAATGGCAGAAAAGTGAAATTGAGTTAGAAAATTATTTTTAAAGCAATTATATTAACATAAATTATTAATTTACTCCAATAATTATTACTTTATTCCATTAATAAAATAGGGGATTTTAATTATAATGATATTAACTAATTTTTATAAATTAGTGATTGACAGATATTGTACTTTGCGCAGTAGTATCGTCCATTGCAGAGAAATAATATTATATCGTTTTTATCAGCACACTGTTATAACATTTTCTGCATTGAATGACTAGTTAAGTAAATATTAAAAGGTTCAGTTTAGTGAAGACTTTGCTTCCTGAAGTATTCATGAATTCAAAATAGTTAATTTAATAAGAGTAATAGAAAATTTAATTACGACAGCTTACTTACGTTTGACTACATATTAACATTACGGAATCAACTTCTGCAGTTCCTCTTTAGAATAGTCATCATCAAACCCACCTGTAAAGCAACCTTTCGCACTGCGTGCTTTGGTGTTGAGCACTGGATTGATGCTGTTGAGACTGCAGGGGGAGAACTTGTTGTTGTTGCGTTTGTCTCCAGACGTTGCACGCGCGAACATGATGTAGTTTCCGTCCTCGCCGCCAGGGGTGCATTGATCGGGATCGTGCTGCAAGCAAATACGCCACAGCGCGGTGTCGTCAGAGAATGGTTTGGATGTGTCCAAGTCGCAAAGTTATGTATCAAATACGGAGGTGAATTTAACACTAGGTAATTTTTTAAAACTGGCAGAAATATACATGGGCTGTTTCGTATTCACATATTGATTTGTTTAGATTTACACTCAGACTTTGTCAAGTCCTTTATTTACTCGTACGTTATAAAATTCGTGAGAATTTCGAAAAAAAAATTAAAAAATTATTAGTAAACATAAGTGAATTTTTAGGAAAAAAATTAAAAGAGCTACTTTTTATCGACAGTAGAATATTTATCTCGTAAGAAAGAAAATTCCAGCTAGTGTAAAACTTGATTTACCAGGCTCAATACATATTTCAATCTGTAGTTATTGAAGGTAATTGGAAGGAATAAAAAGGAAAAATTTTATTTTTAATTATTTTTCAGCACAGGATTTCTTTAAAAATAGGGAGACATATGAAATAATATAATTGCTGTAAGGCGCTCATAAAAATACGTAATTATCCATTCTTATAGTTACTATCAGTTTTCAAAAAATACAATCTACACAGTTATTGTTTTTATGTATATAAAGAAATTTTGATAGTTATAAATACTTGTATGATAGAATTCATCAGTTGATGAGCAATGGAGCTAAAAGTGAGGATCAATTCACGTATATTCAAATATTGAATTTGCGTTTCGTGATTCTGCATCATAGGTAAAACGAGCAGCTCGATCCTAAACCGACGAATCTAAACATTTGGGCAGAGCCGAGTTGACATCTACACGTCTGGCGCAGGATAATGGACTTGCAGAGCACTAGATCCCCACGTCCAAGGGCCCTTCGAGAACAGTCTGCATGCGAGAATACATTACCTTTTAAGTGGTATGCGCTAGATCGAGATTGCTGCTCTGGTGCCTTACCCTAGCAACGTCTTCCATCACCGGAAGTTCAACAAGCAAAGCTGCAGAAACTCCCCTTATACTTGTACCATAACACACTTTGTTAAGAATATTTCAAGAGTTAAGAATATTTCGAAAAAAAATTGATGTACCTGAGATTCGCTGTGTTGATAGAAGAGTATAGAATTTTGTACTTACTTATTTATATAGAAAATTTCATATTTCAATAGAAAGGTTAAAGCAAAAGGCGGTTCAAAAAATGATTGGCCCTCTTTGGGTCTATGATGAGAACCGAATTTGTCGCAAGTGCAGTCACGAAATTACCCTGAATATAAATTAATGGAATCGAACAATATCATTAAGTATTAATGAGCAAGAGTAGCGTCAAAATTGTTCATTGGTCTATAGTGGCCAATTGGAACGCTCAGTTCTAGTCAATTATCAAGGAAAATAATATTTGTCCAATAACAAAGTCATTTTAGTCTTGACTATTTTTCTTATCTTTTTAATGAAAAATAGGGTAATGAAATAATAAAAAATTACGAAATTAGTACCGTAAAGCGATTAATTACAACGCAAAACTGGAGACTTATGCAACAAGGCTCTTAGGCCTAACTACCCAGTGAAATGTGACTGACTGACGTTAATGTAGTTCACAGAAGGTCCAGGATCATTAGTCTACACTTCCGTGAATACTTCCTTTTTATTGCCATGGATTATTAGAACACAGGCATAGGCACTTTTGCTATTTTCTCCGAAACTGATCGTTGTTGTCAATAGCCAGGCAATGGAATATTAGAATCCTTGCGTTTTAATCGTCTTATTACAACACTGCCCTCAGTGTCGTCAAGTCTGGTTTCATTTGAAGTTGATTTCTCTGCCCGCCGCCTCCGCGCCCGCAGCAGCCAGCGTACTCACGGGCGATCCGAAGTTGTGGCCGATCTCGTGCGCCAGCGTCACGTGGGACACGGCGGGCGGCACCTGCTTGCCGTAGTTGAGCAGCGTCACGATGCCCGTGTTTAGGCTCTTCATGCTACCTCGGTACAACTGCGAACAGAGAGCCGCGTCATCGTTGCAGATAAACAAGTTACAAGGGATGAAATCAAAATAATTAATAAAAGAGAGAATAAGTGTAATGATGTGTTTCAAGAGGAAACTGAATGTAATTTTTGCATATTTCTATTGGATCAAGATTACATTTAAAACATTTATAAGGAATAACATGAAATAAACATTTGATCAACGGCTGATATGCATTATTCAACATGTTTACTGGGAGGGCTGACGAAATTGTTTATGGGGGTATTTATATTTTAGTTACTTCGCGAATTTACCAAAAATTATAAAAGGAATAAAGGTGAAAGAAGACCATTTTTATATTTGAACAATGAAGAGGATGAATTGAGAGCACAGAAATAATCCGGTCGAATTATTGAATAGGTATCGATTAATATTAACGGAATGTGACAAACAAGTTAATTAAATAGCCACACAATTTTCTAAGCTATTCTTTTGCGATCTCAAATAGTTTAAGACCTGCACTATGACTGTGATACAAATTATAAAATGCTGTCAGCCAAAAATATTAATTTTCATCAATCAGGGAAAATTTAGGATGTTAAGAATGCATGAAAGTTCTAAGATAACGTACAAAGTAGTTGTAGGTTAGTTAAATAGGAATATAAAAAGTTATTTTATGGAAATTTATCTTACTTCTTGTTACATCTGACACACGCGTCCCTGATTTATTGTATAATTAAACTCCGTATACAGTTAAAAAGCATTTTCGAGCACGTCGTAGGTGATCCGAGGTCGCAACTTTCGTCCTTCGGGTGCTTTCATGCCGACCAAGGCAGCGCTGCAACACCTCGTCCGCCATTGCATTGGCTTCGGAACCACATTCCATTCCGCCCGAAGGGCCAGGGCGCGCACTCGATCGCCCCGCCGTATCCGGATTTTTACGCCCGCGGCCGCGTGCATAACCCTTTGACGAGCGGCGGGGGCGGAGGGGCGACGGTAGGCGGCCGTCGGGAGACGCGGAAGGAGACGGACGGGGGAAGGGCCGGGGACGGGCGACAACGGTGGGGCAGGCACGGGATGCGAAGGGACGGCCAGCGGGCAACGAAGAAGAGGTAAAGGGACGGCGGATGGCCGGGGATGGTGGGGGGAGCGAAGGACGGGTGGGGACAGTGGGGCAGGCAGGGACCGCGGAGGGATGGCCAGGGGAACGGAGGACGCGGAGGCGTGGCCGGGGCGATGCCGGGGGATGGCCGAGAAGGGAGAGGGACGGCTGGGGACGGTCGGAGGTACGGTGAGGCAGCGGGAGTCGGCGGGGAGGACGGCGAGGGCGGTGGTGGCGGCGGGACGGCGGGAGGAGAGGAGGGGGGGGAGGGGGCGTTCACCGCGCAGTAAACACGGCCCCATGGATCTTTAGTGGCGGCGCCGCCGCCTGTTGGGGGGGGGCGACTCGCCTCGAGGGGCTGCGGGGGCGGCGCGTCACGCGGGCGCCTTCGGACACAAAGCCACTTTTATTAGGACAGAAACGCGGCCCTTGAGACATGTTGAAACTTGAAAGTTGGAAAGAATGAATGGGGGTTGAGCACGCAAACAGGAGAATTGTATTCGAAGAAATGAGTTACAGCAATCTAAATAAATCCTAATCTAGTTTCTGAAATGTAAAAATTTTAAAAGCACTTTCAATAATTTTCACATATTCTTACCACCGATTCAAATAACTCTTTTGTGATTAGAATGTAATATTCAGAAACTTGTTTTCATGGAATCTAAAGAATGGTGACTGTGGCTCGTAAAAAGTGGATTTCTTCCTTTCTAAGAAGACTTAAAAACAAGTATAAATTTTTATCAGTTTACTGTAACGAATTAATTTGTTAGGTACAGAATCAGCTTTTTTCGTTTAACTAGTGTTTGTTAAGATATATATTAAATCATATTTTCAGTCACAATTACTTCGACACACGTGCGACTAGAAACCTTCATTTTAAATTATTGAAGGTTGTGAGAATGTCAGAGCTCGCTGAATTAAACGGATTTTAAATTTGAATATTTCATTTGAAAAAAATTATACAAAATTGAATAAACTACGCAAGTGAGCAATCAAATACAATATAATTAATATTTAGGCTGCTGGAAAATAATTTATTTTGTTTTTGAAATTTGTTATTATTTCGAACGAATTTAAGTAAATTTACGTGTTACAACAGTTAGTTAATTATATTCGGACAGTTTGCAATTTACTTCTGGGAAAGAGGTTACCGTTCTCTGGTTTACTGTACGCCTCGCGGGGCCTTTGTCGTAAAAACACAAATGTTCCGCCAGCCGCCGCACGCGCCGTCGGGGCGCTGGCGTCGCCGCCGCAACCTCGCCATCTCGACGCTAGATGTCATCCGCTCGTGGCGCGAGATGCCTGCTGTCGCGCGCAGTGTTTTCTCGTGTGCCCGCTAATCAACAGCCTCGTCGCGGAGACAAAAGAGGATCTCGCCGCGAGCGGTGGCGGCAGTGGCGGCGGCAGCGGCCACGGTGTGAAATAAAAACAACGACGACCGGGGTGGAATCGCGGAGAATGCGCGCCGGCGGAGGCGCGGGAGAGGGCAGCTTCTGCATCTGCAGAAGAAGAGAGGGGCGGCGGCATCGGGGCGCGAAACGAGCGAATAAACGTGGACAAATGAGGGGCGAAATGCGCTGCTCTGAGGGGAGATATTTCGTGAGGAGGTAAAGATCCTGCGGAGTGGAGTCACCGAGCTCCAGCGAAGTCAGTAGTTTGCATTTATTACTGATCTCCCAGCATTGCTGTTCCTCGTTTTAATGCTTGCATGAGCACTATTAAGAGATACATATCATTATCAAGAGCTATTTTGTTTTTTTATTAAATACAAGAATTAAAACCATTAAGTCACATCTTCATTGTGCACGTCACCTTTACATTGTCAGGCATCAACCAATTCACATACTTCTTTGTACCAATTGATGTGACTCATCTTTTGAGTTCATGGTAACCTTTTCATATTGTTTGGAATATGCGAGGAATTGTAATGCTTTTGTTGTGTCCTTGTCAGCTAATGACATGTGGGTTACACGTGTGAGATGTCCCTTGTCAGCTAAACGTTTGGGATTTGGAAATATGTAGATGAAAAATGTGATGGTAAAGATGATGAGTGCGCAACATTACGAAGTTGACACTTAGTAAACACGTTATGTGCCAATTGAAAGGAGTCAAATTAATAGGACTTAAATCCTGTCTCATTATCGTATGGTGGGATGAATATCCCAAATAAAGTTGAAAATTCAATCAAAGATTAAAAGATTAAAAGATAACGGACTGCTAGGAAATGAACTTGATTATCGTAAGTGTTCAGTTAACGATATCTTGTGGCATGAAGTTTACACAGTTGCAAAGAATACTTACTCCGTTCTTCTCGCAGACTCCACCTGCATTCTTCAGGTCACCCGTCCATGCCAGGCCCAGCGTGCCCATTTCAAAGTCGCGATACGTGAACATGTAGGCCAAGCAGAAGGCGTCGTAGTCCTCCTCTGTAGAAAACAAACAGGAAGGGGAGATTATTCTAAAAGCCTTTGAGAATGAATCATGTTTGACACATTCTCCACCCCAAACAGTAATTAAACCACTACAACTATACAGTGTATTCAAGAAAACGTGTACTGGCCATTGTTGGTAGTGATCGTCTTATACAACATGAAGCTCCCAATTGGATAAAAGTGTCTTCTCTCCTAACTCTCCAAGTGTACACAACGTTTAATCTGAGATTAAAGTCACAACAATGGCGTTGGACCGATAACAAGGATGAAGCCTTATTTTAATGCATTATTATTATGGGACCGATTTTCCACAGTTCCAGATTTTGTTTGAATTGTGAATACAGAAACTGAAGCGGTACGGTTTTATTTATTGTGAATCGAAGTACGGTTTTATTTATTGTGAATCGATGTTTTAATTAGTGTTCTAACAACGTTCTCTGGACTTACTTTGTATTATTAATGCTTTATTTCCAATTAAAATTTTTAATATAAAATGAAGTTAAGCTAATAATATCATAACAGAAGTATCAACAAAGTTTTGAACTAATAACACTACGTTACAAATTTTAAAAAAATAAGTGCCAACTTCTATGTTAGCTGTTTATTTATTCATACACATCACTTAATAAGAACACGTAAGGAGTATTTCCTACCACACGTACTGTTTTTAGGTACGGTAACTATCAAATATTAGTGAAGTTATTGAAAAGGTAACGTCTCATATACACCTTGCTTTATTTAATTATCAATAATTCGAATGAAAATGACTTTAACCTTATCAAAATATATTTGAATACATTACAATATATTGAACAAAGTATATATTGTATACAAAAAATAAATAACATATTTAACTTCCCCTTTTATATTGGGATGTATCATTTTGCATCCTAAGGACCTTGAAACAGATTCATTTTTATTTATTGTCTTCACAAAATTCTCCATTAAGGCGAGTTTTGTAGGCGAGGTAAAATCGCAAATTCGAGTTTTATTTTGAGGCAAGGAGGGGGCCTGTCTTCGGTATGAGAAATTGGTTTAATTACAGAATCCACAGGAGAAATATTATGGGTTTTACATTCCCGATATTATATTTCAATTACTTCGAAAAGCCTCTAACACCAGTCATGAAAAAGTAGCAATTGTTGCCGTGATTACTAGGTTCACGTGACAGGTCGTTATTGCAAACGGCATTAACTACTGTGGACTAATATGAACAAAATCTATCCGTGTGTACCTCAAAAACAAGACGTAATAGAACCAAAAGACATCTACTTTCAACATACTGTAACTAACAGACAGCAAACGACAAAAATCATAGAATTCTTCTTGCTATTAAATAATAATGAGGCAGCTTTCCCGCCCCGTTTCATGGTAAAACATGATTAGATTTCTTTAGAAGTACAAAGTAATCCCCAGGCGGAGGGTTGTCCAAGATTGCCAAGACTTAATTTCATGCAACTCTTTTTAAATTGGCGAGTAAATATTAATTTATGTAGGCAGAAAATTCGTCTTCCAAACCCCCTTTTTCTGTAAGATTACAATAATAAGGCACGGTGAACGCCACCAGTTAATCACCTTAAACCTCCATCGGTACAAAAGCGCTGCGTTGCGGCAGTCCCGTGACACCTCACGTTTTTTTCTACTCTTTAAGATAATTATTTAAAATATACAGAAAGGTATGGTTTCCTACAGGCGATGTTTTACAGCGTTTTACACATATGCAAAACAGAAACATAGGCAATCAAAGACAAGTAGTAATTTTGGAAACTGTTAATTGACTGTATATTAAAATACATTAACATAATTCCTTAATACAGAGCGTGAAGCAAATATCTTGAGCATCTTTCCTTAAAAATAGCAAGTATCCATTGAAATAATTGAGGCGGTAGCTAGAAGAAGAGCCTATACTTCAAAACTGTTTTGAGAAAAATGCATTGCAATTTTTTGATAATAGCATTCTGCACCCTGGTAGACCCTTGCCCGTACGCGGGCTGTCGCGCCAGACAGAAAGTTATTTTATTATTTATAAGCATTATATTTGAAAATTACTGATGTCATGTCAACTACCGGTGCCTACCTTAGAATAAAATCTTATTCTTATCTTCTAAGTGAACAAAGTTTGCAATATTCTTTAAAGGGATTTACAAATCCGACAAAAAGTACCCATATGTAAAATAGGGCATATGACATTACGTTTGTGAATAATATAAATACATATTTTTATAAAAAATTAGACTATCTTGATTAAGATATAACAAAGAGGAACCTACAAGGCCACGCTATTTTATGTTTCAGGTCACCTCAAGAATATTTCCGTTTTCACCAAAAGCTCTGCTGTGCCTTTATCTTATTTCTCAGCATCTTAATGGCATCCCGAATCTAAGTAAACTGTTCTCGAGACTATTTCCTCAGCCTAACTTTATTCGCAGCCCCAGCGCGCGCTGCCCCATCTCGTGGCCGAGGGCGGAGTAATTCAGTCTCATTTCCTGTTTCGCAGACAACCAGATATTTGGAGGAAGACGCACCAGAAATGGAAAATACTCGCTGTTCGGCCACAAACTCTGCGCGGAGCCATCTTGGACCTTCTGCGCATGGGAAAAGAGGAGGTTGACGTCGTGAAATGAAATTACTCATTTTCGTAATTTACAAAGATGTGTTCGAGAAGTGTGAACCACGTTGCGTGCTGTGTTGAGTAGAAGAATTATGAGAAGGTTGATTGTCAATAAACAAACTTCGAGGGCATTCTTTCCAACACAATGTACCACACTTCTCGACCTGCTTACCCCAAAAGTTTGTAATATTTATTTTGTACTAACGCTCTACACAAGATAGAGTGTTTGCGCATTTCTTCCTATATCTGACACCAAAGTGGAACGCGGCTTTACAGGTGGTGGATGCATCGTTGTTACATCGTCAAATCATAAGGAAGCAGACTTGAATACCGCAAGTGGCTGCGGCAAGAGCTCAGCTTTATTGATTGTAGGTTCGAATCGCACGTAATGCTTGATCCCATCCTCTGAGCCGTGGTGTGGATGGCAAACAAAAATTACAAAGCAGTGCCTTATTAATCTTTTTTGGTATAGATTAATCATGTATATAGAGAGAGAAAGAAAGAAAGTGAAAAATAGGGTGAGAAAGAGAAACAGAGAGAAAGAGAGTGAAAAAGAGGAAGTGAGAAAAAAGAGAGATAGATAGAGAAAGAGACAGAGTAAGGGGAAGAAATATAGAGAAAGAAATAAATAAAGAGAAAGAGAGAGAAAAATATCTTCCAGGTATCTCACACTAGTGTGACACCGCCTTGGACGGGTAATTTTTTAAGCTCCTGGTCACCTGGATAGATAATGTTCACAAGCATACCTATGTTACGACTCTAACCATAGGACCTCCAGTCAGAGACACTGCAGTAACGTCAGTTGATGCCCTGAGTAATCCTTGCCGGTATGGTGATTCGACATAGTCGTTGAACGGTGTTTGTAGAGAACAACATGTGGTTGCCGTGTCGAAATGCGTCACCTTTACATTTTACTTTTATGGCATTGAATTCCACTCCCATTCAATTCAGATACTTTCTCATTGTCGCCTCGATGAGCCTGTGTGGCGGGTTCCCAATTATCACTGGGAGACGTTTGTGAAACCATGCTTAGAAAATTCGATGAAGAGTACAGGCGAATATAAGGAAAGTGGGAATATACACATTTTGAGGAAAGAAAAACTACATCTTGAAAAGATGTTCCGATAACTAATTACTTGCTGTAGGATTTAATCCGACCTTATGAACACTTAACTTCACGTCAGTTCTGCTTCAATGAGGAGCAACGCATTTTCGATTGAATACACACTACGAAAATTTAAAAATGACATAATTTTGGGTTTTGAAATAACTGTTCTACATCTTAGTGCATTGAATGGTTAAAAAAATAATTGTAACTTCTTTAAAAGAACATGCAACTACACGAGCAAAGGCTTCTTCGGAATGAAGTTCGCTCCATTCCCCCCTCCCCGTCCGCAACCCCATCGTTCCCGGGAGCGACCGGGAAAGGGGCGCGGGCGGGGGGAGGACGTGACGTATTGGAGAGTGCCGGCGATCTCGCCAATCGCGCAAATGTCACGCCGCACTGACATTTGGCCGCTTCCGGTCGGTCGGTGGCCCCGGGGAGAAACAAATGCCGAGCGCGCCCCGCCCCCTCTCCACCCGGCGGTCCGGCGACGCGCCGCGTTGTCCCATCCCGGCGCGGCGCTGGGGCGATGGCGGAGACGATGGCGGAGGCGATGGCGGTGCGATGGTAGTGGCGATGGCGGAGGCGATGACAGTGGGCGATGGCGGAGGCCGGAGACGATGCGGGAGCCGGTCTGCAGCGTCAGCTGACGGAATGTAATGACGGAGGCGATGGCGGTGCGATGGTAGTGGGCGATGGCGGAGGCCGATGGCGGGGGCGATGGCGGAGGCGATGGCGGTGTGCAGCGTCAGATGACGGATTGCAATTGAACGGAGCGATGCGGTGCGATGTAGTGGCGATGGCAGGGGCCGAATGGCGGGGCGATGGAGGAGGCGATGGCGGAGGCGATGGCGGAGGCGATGGCGGGGCGACGGTGCGACGGCGATGGCGGAGGCCCTGGATTGGCGGAGGCGGTGGTGAGGCGAGTCGGGGCGATGCGCGGAGGCGATGCGGTCGCAATGGCAGTGGCGATGGCGCGTGGAGGCGGAACGATGGCGGAGGCGGAGAACGATTGGGGAGGCGGCAGACGCATGGTGCGGAGCGGAGACCGATTGGCGGAGGCGGTTTGCAGCGTCAGTGACGGATGCAATGACGGAGGCGGATGGCGGAGGCGATGCGAGCGATGGCGGAGGGCATGGCGGAGCGAGGTGGTGCGATGGCGGGGCGCACGGTGGGAGGCTATGCGGGAAGCGCATTGGCCGGAGGCGATGGCGGAAGCCGATGGCGGAGGCGATGGCCGGTGGCGATGGCGGAGTCGATGGTGAGGCGGAGGCGGGC